TGCTTTTCGTTCCTTTGGGGAGTGTTTGGTTGTTTTGGATCGTTTACTGTTCGAGTTGTTAATAAATGACATAAAATAGCATAAAGACTTGGACTATTGAGAGAAAACTTGACGTCAGATCATATTAGAAGATATTCTGAACCTGGATAATTATTTCATACATTGCCGGTACGCTACAATTTTTGGCGAGCACGCCAGGATATTTTCTATGAACTATGATTTTTTTTCTCTTACTTGGAGTAATGGATGATATGTCAAGGATCTGGTCAATAACGTGCCTGTTTTGTTTTTGATTGATACCGGTGCGGGTGTCTGGCTCATTGACACCGCTGTTTACTCGACGTTGCAGGAAGATTCGAATATTTCGGGGCTGCATCCTGTTCCAGCGCCACTCCGTACTGCCGGTTGCGAGTCATTTGTGTCTCATGGTGTACTTGATGTCAACCTGACGATTGAAAGCTGGTCTGTGGAGCATACAGTTGTGGTCGCCGATCCAGGGTCACGTGCGGGTGTCTCGCTCATAGACACCGCTGTTTACTTGACGTTGCGGGAAATTCGGTTCGGGTGTCTCGCTCATAGACACCGCTGTTTACTCGACGTTGCAGGAAATTCGGACATTTCAGAACTGTATTCTTTTGTGGCGAGTCGTTAGTGTCTCATAGTGCACTTGATGTCAACCTGACGATTGAAAGCTGGCCTGTGGAGCATACCGTTGCCGTCGCCGATCTAGGGTCACGGATGGACTATCTTGGCAAATTCGTCGCATCGTTTTGTTCTTGAGGGACAGGATGTTAAGGTACAGCACCAAACAGCTTCTCCCTGCTGTCATGGAACTATAGTTGAAGATGTGGTTATACCGGCCGCTCGGGACTGGTTGTTCTAGTTCAGCTACAACAGCCTTGGCCGTCCGGAGATCTAACATAGTAGCCATTGGAGATATGCAACATCAATTTGGTCGCTTCGATGACGTTTGTGGTAGAGATGTACCGATACCACTTTTGTCGCCGATACCGATACCGATCCGATACCAGCTAAAAACGCCGATACCGATACCGATACGCCGATACTACAAAAAGGCCGATATTACCGATATTCCGATACCGATACTATGTAATTATTACTTAATTAGGTATGCTGTGTAAGACAAACGGGTTAAAACAATGGTCTTTAAGCGTTGTTCATAGTACACATTATTTCAGATCGAAAAAAAAGATATATATATCACATAATATGAAATTAATGTTTGGTATCCATATGCTGTAACTGATTAAGATACATTGTACAGTAACGCTAGTAATCTTGGTGTTCAATTAGAAAAACTCATAAGCCGGATGTCCAATTTGAGTTTAATGTTAATATCGCGAGCTTCGATATCGTTATTCGTGTTTAAAAGAATATCGAATATCACCCACACATTCTAGCGCCGCCGTCCTACGTTCAAATTAAAAGCATTTTACAAATATTTAATTTAAGTGGCTAATCGTAATCGTCGACGCAATAAGTCAAAGCCAACATGAAAGAATATCAATCAGCACGACAAAAAGAAGACCCACCGATAACCGTTGAGGATGTTTTTTTACTTCACTATTTATAATATTTTACAATTGCTATCTTATATTTTGAGACAGTCTAGGGCTAGGCGGTCAAGTTAATATATCTATAAAGAAATCGTGTAGTTAAGCAGAATTAAAATTAATACCTGTGTAGTGGGATAATTGTGTCGGAATTTAGTTTATCGACGGACTAAATGACACTCGTACTTGACGACAAACAGTCAGAATTTATACCCGTGTCAAAAGTCCATGTGCCGTTAATAAGGAAGGACCCCAATTCCACTGTATGATTTAAAACTGGGCGCCTAGTTGCTTTTGTTATGTGCTGTGTTATATATTTCTTCATAAAAAACTATGTAATATTAAAAATGTCAATATAAAAATTTGACAGCGAAAATAGCCAAATTAGTTGAGCTAGTTTAGCTGATAAATAGCTAAAAACACGTGAATTCCTATTCTCTCGCGGGGTGGGACATGTATGGCTCATAGCTCACGATCTCTCCAGACAAAAATAAATTAAAAAGTAGTATTCCAACTTATCTTTTAAAACATTCTGGACCATATCAAAAAGGTAAATATATCGGCCTTAATCTAACCGATACCGATACATGGCCGATACCAAAAAAATGGCCGATATTGCCGATACCGATACCCGATACCGATACATCGGTACATCTCTAGTTTGTGGACTCAATTCAGAATGACAAACTTTACGGATGCTTAAGCGTGAGGGTAGACGGCCTGCATATTTTAAAGACATTCGTGGACATATTTTGGTTTTGACCACTGCTTTTGTGTTTCAAAATATTTTTTTAGAGATGAAAACATTCTTTCATAATGTTCCATCTAGAAGAGGGGGTAATGTGACGACCCTTGTTTTGCCTGTTAAATGACGTCATGTGATATCATTTCCATATTTGGTATTCTAGCAGTTTAGACGCTGCGACACGGTCGATCGGTTCTCGGGGGCAGCGTGGTCTGTTGGTGTTATGCTGTGTGTGACAGAGTGCAGTCGTCTGAGTGTTTCGGTTAGATTGGTGGGTTTTGAATGTCTGTGTGAATGCCTCTGGTCTTCAGGAATGTTTGTCTGTGTTGTGTGACTGTCGGATGTTTTGTGCTGGGACAGTGGGCTGACGTAGGGACCATGTCTGCATGTTATTGTTTTACCAGTACAGTGCCATTACAGTTCATTTACCGTAGTGTTGTATTTTCAGTTTTATCGTGGAATTAGCTTTCATCAGTATTGTTCAAATGTTGTGCACCTATAGAATTGTTCATAGTTTTTATAAATGCCTGTCATAAGTTACTTTCGGCCTGTTTTGCAAATTGCAGTAGCTAGTTCATTGTACCAGATTCTAGGGGTCATTGGTTTTTTATTCAGAGTTGTCTGGGATTTCAGGGTTGGTCAGTGTTTTTGTTGTGATGTGGTCTTCTTGCATTTTACTGCCTGGTATCTGTTATTTTTATTTTATGCTTTTCGTTCCTTTGGGGAGTGTTTGGTTGTTTTGATCGTTTACTGTTTTCGAGTTGTTAATAAATGACATAAAATAGCATAAAGACTTGGACTATTGAGAGAAAACTTGACGTCAGATCATATTAGAAGATATTCTGAACCTGGATAATTATTTCATACATTGCCGGTACGCTACATAACAAACGAATTGAAGTTTAAACTGTTTTTTTTTTAATTGCTTTTTCGCGTAGTCCTGTGACGATCAGAAGGATAGGATTTACATATTTATCCCGGGGGAGAGGAAAGGGGCGCAACCATCGGCACGCGAGAGAGATTTATTTCCACAAACAATGAAAAAACAATATTAAATAATATCGATAATTTCATATAGAGTTAGACTATAATGAAAACAATGAAATACAGTATAAAACAATATTGATAATTTTTATAGAAGTATTCCAATTTACACATTGTTCTGTGTTGGCCAGTATGCAGGACCGTTGAAGGTCATCGAGGCTTGCTACCGCACCTCTGATTACTATACGTGGGTTCGCAGGTGCGAATCCCATCGGGGATAGTTATGTGCATAAGGATCGCTGGACTCTTCGCCATATGGTTAATCCGTCTTATCGGCTTTTCTCTCCCCCGGGATAAATATGTAAATCCTCTATGGCGAACCACGGACTTTCGTTCGGTTACCATTTCATGTCGGGTACGATATGGATTGGTTAGTTATTTGTTTTCGGAAGCATGGACTTGATGGTGGAGAAAGCCGTAAACGACCAGCGGTTATGTGAACCACCCTACGGCGGCGAGGAGTCCAGCAATTCTCTCGCACATAACCATCCCCGCATGGGATTCGAACCTGCGAATCCACGCACACGCAGAGTAACCAGAGGTGCGGTGGCGACCGTATTCCTGATGCTTAGCACGATGAGCCAGACCGCCGCACCAACAACAGCCGTATAGGGAAGTGCACTGGAGCGCATCGGTAGCTGTCAATCATTCACACAAAAATTGCTGTAGCGATTTAGGTATACGTGTGCACAACTTTGATGTGAGATTCGTGTGAAGTGTAGAATCGGACAGGTAGATAGATAGTTTATTTTTGAAAACTCCGCAATCTGACAATATGAACAAACTAAAAATGGAGACTTCTGGGAAGCAAGCAAAACCTTTAAAAAAGTTCAAAAGTACCGGTATCATGTGCCCGCTCACCAAAACGCATTCACAAAAAAAAAAACACAAATCTTGTTAAACAAGGCTTGGCCCAGAAATAAACACTCAAAAAATACGCAAATGTACCGTAATGAACTTTCGGGCTGTTGTACCGTACCCGGTACCGGTATACTTTTAAAATACCTACTCAGGCTAATGAGGACCAATTCGATCTTTTACAAAGACAACGTGTGGAGGTGTAATATAATGCTGTAATGTGATAAGGTGACGAGAAGGATCACCTATTTATCCCAGGGAGATAGAGCCGATAAGGCGGGTGACTCATACGGCGAACCACGGCCGGTTACCGGTACGGTACGGTACTAGTAAATAGTCCATGTCGGATACCGATATGGGATTAGTTAGCCAGATATTTGTTGATGGGGGCCAAAGAGAGTACGGTAGCGTTAGTAGGGGCAGCTGCACCGTGCAGCAGATAAGTTCGGTCGATAGAGTTCGATCTTACACATGCTGACATGTGAGTTTATAGCTCAGTTTGATGAGTTATTAGTGATATAAACGTTTCACTCTTACTTGAACTTTCATTTATTCATTCTCATGTCTGCATGTAGACTACCAACAACATCTAAAATATTTTTGAAGTTGGGTGGTACGGTACGGTAGGTACGGTACCTAGCGGCATGAGGGGCATCATTATTCGAAACTCGCTCTGGGCAGCAGAAAAGTTTGTCACGCCCCTGGTTGGACTCTTCATGTTGTAGGCAATATCTACCTATTTTTTATTCGGCATAATCCATACCTCTTTTCTATCCTATACTCTTGCAAGCTTAGCATAATATGTCATAAAAATGGAAGATAAGCCGTCATTTCTTCGTCCAGTCGGGATCTCATATATTGCGGAAGATCTTGCCGATGACAGAGAAGCTTACGTTTCTACTAATGCTGTACATAGTCTACAATCAGCCTTCCACATTGCGGAAAATATTTTCAAAGAGGAAGTCCCGACCTCAAATGAAAATATCATGAATACTTCTCTGGACTCGGATACACATGATGGAAGTAGAGGTAGGCATCTTAAAGTACTTTTCTTATTATGCCATCTTCATTCAGTCATTCTTTCTACAGTATCTTTTGATATTATGCAACCCTCACAAAATAGTAAAAAAGCGATTGGTCTCTCATCATCGATTTATTTATCCAACTTCATATAACTCACATAGACGAAATTAATTTTGGTTGGGATAGGATTTAGGATAAGAGCAAAACCGTTAAGACGGCTCAATCATATGGCATACCACAGCCTCTCGTCTGTCTACCAGTTCATGTCGGGTATGGGAGTAGTATAAAAATATACGATGTCATAAAAGTGTGTATGGGAGTAGTATAAAAATATACGATGTCATTAAAGTGTGTTCTTACTTTGCGAAGTATTTCTAATCAATAGCCACGGAAACCCCAACCCTAACGAAATTTTAGACCTCATTTGCTTAGTGCAATTAAATTATTTTTTATTCATAAATTTTATAATGAAACACTTTTTATGTCATCGTATTTTTGAGCAGCAGGATTTCGCTAGCGTGACAGAGGTGAAAAACCTGTATGCTTAACGCTTAGCATGATGTGCCACATCGCCGTGGTTGCCTTATTATAATAATCAATCATGGCATACCACCCTGTTAATGCCACCTTTTAACTTTTTTAATCAAAGATAAAACAGATTATAAATTTGTGATGGGCAATAATATATCACTCACTTAAAGAATTCTTTATATTGAATGGATGTATCTGGATATTTAGTTCATATGTGACACCCCTGTAGGGTTGTCATAAGTTCTCGAAGTCGTTTACTCATTGAAATTCTGACTTGCCAATTTTGTAACTGTCCAAAGAAGCAATAAGGGCAATATTAAAATTTGACAATGGTAGCGTTGAAATATGGCAACAAGCGGTGATTCAAATATGACATTGTTCAAAAGTTTGTCAATATTTTATCAAAACAATTTAACAAATCGTTCTGTTTATGTCCAGACGGCAGCAAAGAGGATATCACTTCACCCAATCAGGAGCCAAATACACAAGATGGCACTAAAGAGATTAATTCAGAACGAACTGTGGATGTAGACACACTCGAACTTCTATCCTCAGTAGAAAAAGGGAGACATTCAATTTCTCCAGACAAAGTTGAGAAAACTGAAGCCAGTCAGTCAATCACACACGATAGCAGTAAAGAGAATGCTAATTCAGAGAGCACGCTAGACATTATAAATCTAGAGACGGAAGAAAATGAGATTCAGCAACGGCATCTACCTGGAAATGAAGCGTCTGAGGACTGCAACGCTGACATAAATGAAGAATTGAATACTCATGATGGCAGTAGAGAGAGCACTGATTTAGAAAATAAAAATACGCTTGATATGTTGGATTCCGCAACTCGGGAGAATTACTCACATGTAAGCGAAACTAATTCCTTTTCAAATCATAATGGTCAAGTCGATTCTACTAAAAATCAAACATTTTATTCGCACGATCGTGAAAGAAGAGAGAACTCTGAATCAGAGTGTGAGATGGACACGCAAGATTTAATCTCAAATTTTGCAGAAGAAAAATATTTGCAGCAGACTTCTTTGGCACAGGATTATGAAAATGACCAGTGTTCTGATGTAACTTCGATTTCAAATAACGAAGACACGGACCCATTTGCGTTTTTAGCAAGATTTGAATTGAGAAGTGGCTCTGATATCCCAATAGAACAATGCGATTTTGGTAATATAAATCTACAATTACAAGCAGAGACGCTACCTCTCTTGCCAAGATGGCTGTCAAATAAAAATATAAAAGGGCCGACACTCATTGATACCATAGAATACGTTCAAACTGTGCTTCCGGAAGTTCATTTCGAGCTCTGTGATGTAATTCCCAGAAAAAGGAACAAAGAAATGAAAATTTTTTTGGGAGGAGCAAATAAAAAACAGACAAAGTTGTTCAGTGGTAGGAGAAATGGAAAAAGATGAAATTCTAATCAGCTATCACTGCAGCGTGGCTGGGCGGAATCTTATTGCTTTAAAATATGAATGCAACTGCTGCTTGCTTCTTGGTTTCCTGTGGTACCATCTTGCATTCAGTACTATCCAGTTATTGCTCATTTGCTGTTTTAGGTTTATGTTAGGTGTGTGCAATATTTATTGTCAGTGGGCCATATAACCCAATTCTGAAATCTAGCTGTGCCCCACAAAAAATTCAGCGAGAAAGGCAAGAGAAGAAAATGCGGCTATTGCTTAGCTTGCACTAATAAAGGCACCAGGTAAAACGGCGTAAGATTTACCACAGCAACAAGAACAAAAAAACATTATGTATGTTTACCCATGTGAGCGCCTGAGCATCTTTTCAAACATAAACCTGTCATATTAAGATTTTACGCTTTATAATGGGCTCATTCACACTGTTGTAACATGACTGGCAGCATCAGCACTGCTGTCTAGTCATGGCTAAATGTACTTTCACTCAATGTTTACTCTATTTTTGCTTGCCATATTTCTGATCATCATTTATTCTTCAATTTTAAAAAAATTTATGAAGCATGACCAGTCAGGATATTCTTACCCCAACATAGGTTTGTCAATTCTGTCGGGTAAACACATCAGTGATCATGAATTTTTAAAACCTTTTTTTTCTCAAATGTCTTTCAAGAATTTTCTTATCCTAACATGGGTTCATCAATTATTGAACCCTGGGTGAAATGGTGGGTTTTGAAATTTGAACCCAAGATCCCAACATAGTTAACCACACCCAACATTTTTCAATTTATTCCTTCCTCACTATACACAAAAACGCTGTTCATACCGGATGATGTGGGCATGTAGGAACCGAAGATTTTAGCCGGCAATGCTAGCAAAGTTAAAGTCCAATACTTTAACCCCTAGGGCAGTCGTTCCCAACCTCTTTCGATAATGTCGTCCATTTTGGATCTCTTTATTTCTCTCTTACAATACATGAAAATCGTATCCATGATTTCTAGATATTTAAACGATCATAAGCTAGTGTTGTGAACAACTCGCGCTCCGGCATTTGCACAATTAAAGTGGTTAATGCAGAAACGTTGATAGGAATTTTCAAACAGGGGATTCTGAAATTTCTAATTCCAGGCACTTGGTTTATGATATGTGCATAAATATGTATCACAATAAAACTGAATAACTAAACAATATTATTAAATCTACACTGAATAGTGAATACAAAGTAATATTTCGGGGCTCCCGAAGTATGAGAACCAAGATGTCGGACATCGGAATGTAATATGTGTACTAGGTTAGGGTTAGGCCATAATTTTAGGTATAAATACTTCGGTAGGCTCTTGGCTAGTCTTCGAACTGATAATAGGGCTAAAATAAGGAAAATTGGAAAAAAAATTATGGCCTAACCCTAACCTTGTTACCCATGTTACGTTCCGATGTCCGCCATCTTGGTTCGCATACTTCGGGAGCCCCAATATTTCTGTATTTCCCAAAACACTGTTTTATTACATTTACTTATTGTTAAAAAATTATTTTTTTTACAGAATCTAAAATAGTGATAAATAAAAATAATAATCATGTCTTCTGAAGGAGTTTTATCTGTTTTGGCAAAGTTTCACAGAGATTATGAAGTTTCAACTCCTCAAAAATTGAAGGTCTGTAGTTCTAATTTTTCAATATTAATTCTGAGACGAAGATCAATAAGACGACCTAATCATAAGGGCGTCCACGGACCCTCGTCCGGTTACCAGTCATGTTTGATATGGGATTAGTTGGCCAGTTATTTGTTTTCAGACGCAAAGACCTAAGGCGTAGCCAACAAGGTATGAAGCTGTAATCAACCAATGGTCACATGAACTACCATAAAATAGGGAGGAGTCCAGCAATGCCATTGTACCTAAATTATCCCTGTTTGCCTAGTTCCTAGAGCAGCGCTTCCCAACCTTTTTTGGTCGCGGACTATTTTCTCACTGGCGAAAAACTTTTGCGGACTCAACGTGAGTTTTTTGCAACCGTACTCTGTGTGAAGAAGTAATAAAACCAAACACAACAGAATTTTTTCGAATTTCAAAATCGGAAATGCTACGCAATTACGCCTTCGTTAAAAGGGCCGACTTCTTTAGTGTATAAATGGCCTTTTCTGTCGCACAATATTCAATCTTTGACAACGACAAGAATTTAAAATGTTTTCCTATTTTAATTTAATTGTGTTCATGGTCACTCGCGGTTGCGTTGGCTTATGACAAGATGAAAGCATTACTTCTTTTAAATTCCACGGCAATCTGCGAACATAATAATGTGAGAATATATTGCCCGATTATATTTAGTTTTGATACATATTATTCGCGATCTTGCGAATTTGTTATCGCCGTTAGAAAATCCTACTATCTGCTATAAATTTCTAGAAAGTACAACTTGATTTAGTACTTATTAAAAATATAATTAGTATATTAGTAAATAAAAATAATAAATATTCATCGCCTTGCTTTAATATTAAATTAATTGTGATCATTTTTCTCTGCGATTCGTATTTTTGTGAATTCGACAAATATGAGCTGTTCGTACAACAGTAAAGCCAGTAAAGTCACTATAATTCAGAGTACCGTCACGGGCCTGATTATATTGCTCCGCTGGCCGTAGGTTGCGGACCCTGCAGTAAAGCGAAGAATTCTGAAGGAAATGCCCTGATACGAATACTACCTTAGCACCCGAAATTTTGCAATTTGCAACATGTCAAAAAAAGCGTTTTTAAAAACTTATGGTGTTTTCAGTTTTATTTTCAGTGTTTTGTATTGCCGCTTTTCCATTTAGAAAATTTAGGTTGCCACTATTGACACCTACCAGAAAAATTATTCCTCGAACAACAACCACTAAATCCAATCGTTTGATTAAACGACCCGCAAGTGACCTGTCGCGTCACTTGTTACCAAATTTTCGAATAATAAATTGCTATTCTAATAATTGAATATTCGAATATATGCCATGCCCTACTCATTCAGTATCCAGAAATTATTGACTCGATTCATGTTACATGAATAAACTTGCTTTTTATGTTTTATGTAAATACTAACGTAAATCGTGGCTGATGGTTAAGTTTAGCAAAAACGTTTGCGGCTCGCAGTGAATTTATGGCTCGTTGCGGACTCATTCAAACACTCTGCAGACTCATTTGAGACCGCGGACTTGGGTTGGGAAACACTGTCCTAGAGTCTCATTTCCTCGTAAATTAATAAAGGGAGACAGCCCTAATTTTTTTCCTATTTATCATGTGAAAGTCAGACTGTTTTATCATGTGTTTAACTGTGATTTCGCAGCATTTTTTTCATTGAAAAGAAATAATTTTTTCAATAATAAACTCATTTAGCAGGCTGATCTTGGTTCCAGGTAGTTTTTTCTCTCTTCCTGGATGTAAAAATCTATCTAGTCAGAATCTACAGGGTTCAGAGTGGTCCACGTCAGCACTTGTCAATTAGAGCTTCATCCACCAATATCTGGCACAAAAAAACTGGCTAACCATTCCCATACCATGCACAGACAGGAGGCAAATTCCTTCCATGTTTTAATATGTCTGGGACTCTCGCCCAATAACCAGCTTGGGGTCGCTACTCGTGTCCTTTACTCTCTCGCATATTCCCATATTTTATCAATTTTACCATTTTCAGCTCATCGACTGTTATCTCGTTTACATTCTCGTTACTGGAGTGTTACAGTTCGTCTACTGCGCCCTAGTGGGAACATTTCCATTCAATTCTTTTCTGTCCGGATTCATATCATGTGTCGCTTCTTTTGTATTGGCAGGTAGGTTTGTTTGCTTTATTGTGATGCTGATTCACGTCTTTGCCTTGAACAAAGCTGTCTCTTTCACTTCTGAGTGGGTGTAAGTGACTTGATTTGAGAGAACTCTATCACAAGAATCCAATTTAGGGAAATTCACATTTTGACACTAAATAATTTGAAAATACAGCAGCGACCAGCAGCAATGACAAAACTCAAAACTCTACAATCCTGGCTTGCATAATTTACGGTACTCTCGAAGTATGCGCACCAAGATGTCGCACAACATGAACCCTAACCTGGTACACAACCTGAGTTCAGGTTGTGCGGCATCTTGGTGCGCATACTTCGGGAGGTCCGAATTTACTCTATTACACTGAACTAGAGACAACAACTGGATTTTAAAATATGTCTTATGGCGCTCGTTCATCCTTTACCTATTTTCTCTCATTGAATGAATATCAAATTTTTTTTAGTAAACCTCCGACTCCAGGTGAACCCACAGAACCGTAAAGAATTCCGTAACATCGCACCTCAGCGAGCATTTGCAGATTTCATATTCGCTCATGTTGTTCTTCATCTTGTTGTCGTCAACTTTATTGGCTGAAGATTGAAGGTCAAATCAAGGTTAGTCGGCATGAAAGATGAATCAAATTTGCCATGATGTATCATTTATAGTTGCGAAGTCTGGAAATTGCAAACTTAAAGTAAAAACGATTCTGACTTATGGTTGACTGTTCTGCCCCCTAACTGAAAAGAATTTTATATTTTGACTTCAACTTTGGGAATCAAATTTCATTACCAAAAACTTGCGAATGCTGCAAGCCTTCATTATTTGTCTGTTGAGAATGCTCTTTCAACTCAATTCTTCGATTTTCCATCAAGAATTTCAAAAATTTTGATTCTAATTTGTCTCCGACTTCAGATTTGAGTTGTTCGAGAATCAACTCCTCCAGTATAAATATAAAAAAGCAAAACTCTCCAACCCTTAACTTGTAGATTAACGTTTTTTCTGGAATCGGAAACGAATTAAAAATTTGACTATAGTCCCAGTGAAAACATGTCAAACTTAGACTCTCATATTCTACTTTGTTTCAGATCCCAAGAAATATCACAAAGATATTGAACTTCTCGTGCCGAAGCACTTTCAACACTTTTACATATATTTTAGTAATTGCTTTGAAAGTAAATATTATTGAATAAAACCTGTGCTTGAGTGATCAATATGGGGTCTGGGATGGCTTTGTCCAGAAGCCGGGAGGGTTCTCGTTGGGTAAAATTGGGGTGGAATTTCACTTGTATTTGTAAAGTTTGCAGATCAGATTCTTTGCCAAATGAATATTCCTTTACATGAATAGAACACAGATTGAGACGTCATTTGTTGAGTTGTGATAAATGTTATTTGAGGCACCCGCACTGCAGTAAAGGTGACTCATCTCTGAGCAAAGTTACAGGCACTCACTCAGAAGTAAAAGAGACTCATCTCTGAGTGAAGTTACGAGTGAGCACTCGCTCAGAAGTAAAGGAGACTTGTCCTTGGATAAAATTGCGTGTACTCACTCTGAAGTAATGGAAAGTCCTCTATGAGTAAAGTTACAAGCTTTGACTCAGGAGTTAAGGAGACTCATCTTTGAGCTAAGTTACATGTTGGGGTCACCATTTTAGCAAATGAAAAACACGTTGAACGTTGGAGATGAGTTTAATGTTTTAAATATACACGAAGAACAAACGATTAAGACATGACAAAACGACACCGATCCAGACGACTCGATTCCAAATACAAGATCTTTTCAATACCTCCCTTTTAAATATCCAATTGAAACCATATTTATTCGTATGTGCGTATGGTGATATCGATTCTATTAGGGGTTATCGATTCGGGTTTGGAATACTAATTACCATGTCCATATGTCATCGATCCAATTATATTTTTGGTTGTCATCTGTTTGTCTAATTACAACGGGCCCTATATCGATCCAATTCATGAATTTGGAGAAATTCGAAATTAGCAATTTCCAGTCTTTTTAATGTATTTTACCTGAAAAAACGAATTTATCCCTAAATATGCACTCAAAAGTAAAGGGGACTCATCGGTACTCCTGAAGTATGCGCACCAAGATGTCGCATAACCTGAATCCTAACCTGGTACACAACCTGAGTTCAGGTTGTGCGCCAGTTTGGTGCGCATACTTCAGGAGGTCCGACTCATCTCCTCTGGCTCATCGAGGAAAAACTACACTGTATAGGCATCGCTTACAGCGCTGGTTTATTCCAGTCATTATGCACAGTCAAATTTACAATCATGTCTATCCTAATCAATCCTTATATCTGGCTACAAAAGAGATGGAAACCTTGTATTCCAGATTAATGAAAAACGATGAATCTGTTCCCTTTCATGCTGATTATGGAGTCAAAATAACCTTATGAATCTGTCATCCAAAGACTTCTAATTTTGTTTCAACTTTATTTCAATTCAATAATAGTCTTACACAATGAAAGATAAAAATAATAAAATGACATAATGATGAACTTTACAGAAAAAATAAAAATGGAAAATGCCGATGAATTCTGGGTAAAACCAAACTAGTGATCAAAATATGATTCTCCAATGTGAAAATAACTTATGAGACTGGTAAAATGTAAATTGCCAGTTACCTGAATTTTAGAGACATTGTCAATTAGTATTGTGAGAGCTTTAGTCATTGGCCCGACTCAAGTCCCTATTCATCAAAAATGAGTCGTTTCAGCGGAATGACTTGGACATGTCTTGAACCCGGTGGAACTTCTGTCAAAACACTGTTGCCACATAGGTTGGGAAACGAGATAAACTATATTGTTTTACAGAATCAAAATAGTATATAAAAATTCAGGCACAGAAAGATAGGAACACACAATTTTATCAAAACAAAAAAGTTAAATGCTTCCTAAAGCGAGATATAATTCATCATCTGGTTGAAAAAGGGAATTCGAACCATGCTCCCCTCTTGGCCGCAAATCGTACTACTCCACTCAACATAATCGGTAATCAATATCAAAGTTGAACATACTAACATAACAACATTTTCCTAATATCGCTATGTTACTGCTTTTCATAAACGACAAATAAACACCTTAAAATATTCATATTCATATAATCATTAAAATATATTTATGACCATTTTATTTTTCTCGGCCAACCTTTATGTGTGATTTTGATGTGAATCATGAATCCGATAGTTTGATCATTTAACAGAGTAATAATAAAATACAGAATAGTGCAATAATACTACAAATGAATGATTGAAATTAAACAATTTTAAGGAACAAAAAGGAAAAGGCACTTGACAGAATAAAATGTAATAATTTGACAACAAAATAAAAAATAAACGGTTCTATGATGAATGGGTTTTGTGGATAATACATGGCTAATTTAATTTGCCATTTATAATTTACAAAAAAGTTTTTGTTTTCAAAATTAGATTGGAGTTGAAATTTCTTACAACACGAAGCTGACAAGAAGATATTTAAGGGATATCACAAACTTTTCATGCCCACACTTGAATAGTTAGGGATATGTAACATCGTAATATAAAATATCCAAGCATCAACCAAAAGGCTGATAATACATTTTAGGGCGCTCCAGAATAATGTGTACCAATACGAAGGTATCTAATTTTGTTCGCCATTTTACATCAAGTTGTGTAAAGGGACTGAAACCTATGGGCAGGTGGTATATTCACTTGGTTAACACAGACAGCCCTGAACTTGTAATAGAACTAAAATAAGAAAAATCGGAATGAAATTATGGCCTGGCCCTAACCTGGTACATACACTATGGGAGTACCTATTTTAGTATGTGGTTCCATCAACTGATAATGCAGTGTGAAATCATATGCGTCTGAAACCATTCTTCAGAACATTTCTTGTTGAACAATCAGTTAAGCAAATCATTTTCTGTCTAAAAATCATCAAATAGAACATTTTATGTTTCCAAAATCATATAGACAGAATACATCCAAAATCATCCAACCAGATTATTCTGTGTCTAAAATCATTTGAGAAAAACAATTTTTAAGGCAGCACATAACTAATTTGAATACTAATGCATAGATATAATAGTTTAATACATGAATTTATAATAAGAAAGCCACAAAGTGAAGAATTGGTGATAAGATGTGTAAAAAGGCAACAGGTGTGGCCAGCTATTCATAGCAGGGCAACAATATTTCTAACAAGTGATGAGATTCGAAAAATTTAAATTGAATGGATTTTAATAAACAGGTTCGGTTTTGTATTGATTCACAAACAACAGATTTCCAACAAAAGATCACAATACCTATACTACATCTTTGTGACATCATTATCAAGTATGGCATCCCCATGTTTCAATTTCCATTAAATAAGGTATGATGATATCAGAAACAAATGATATTATGACATCATAAGTTTGTGACAATAAGTCATAGTGACATCATAAGCTTCACCGCTTCCTTCGGACCATAGCTTTACGGAATGAATTCATCAGTTTAATGATTTCTAAGACTTGTTCGGTGATGAACATAATTTCTCCGCGACCTTCGATCTGTATCAGGAACTGATTTGCGCTGAGTGCTCCAAAAGACAACATTCTGTTAGACAAAAAAACAAGTTTAGAAAAAGTTGAAATTTTCACATTTACCCTCTCAATAACCAGGTTACAACATCATTCATATAAATTCAAAACTTACCCAGAATAAGTAAAATGATCCAAAATATTCGGGAAACCTCTTTTGTAGACCGATATTCCATCGCTAGCAACCCCGATAGTCAGTGACGACTCCCCAAATGCTGCTTCATTGTTTGAAACAGTGAACAATGCTGAACCAAACCCTGGCCATGTTCGAGCGAGTTGGACGTATTCAACCTGTGAATTGAACAATCAAATTAAGTTTATATTCCATCTATAACAAGGAGTGTTTCTGGGGTCTTGTGACTTACTAAAAAAAAGCCAGTCAGGATTCCCATTATATAACAGTCAGCACAGCACATTTCAGTTGGATACGGGAATAGTTATTCTGACAGCTAGATTATCTAAAACATCAAAATTTGGTTGTGGCACTATCAGGCTGGCCAGATTGAATCACTCAATTGGCCCGTTCTTAATTTGTATTATGCATTCTGTGAACTAATAAATAATCAAGTTTATTTTAAATGTGTTTGTGCATCTGAGATAGTACATATTTTTGTTCGACTTTATTGTATTTATCGCGTTTTGTTAGACTTTCTCAACGGTGTCGCCGCTCAATAACCAGCTTTGCTTTCTGCATCCCCCTTCACCCTAAAATGCGATTTTTTTTATATATTTCTTTTAAATTGTGTATGTAGAATTCGTATTTTTCAGCATGGTGAAAAAATAAATTACTGATTACTGACTGATTACTGATAGACTCCTTCAATTCAAATGTGTTTAAATGCCAGAATAATTTAGAAGAGCATATCAATTTTCGACATAAATTGCACCGAGAGGTATCACAGCTTTGAATCTCAAATAGAGAATGATCGAACCAAAACAATATTAATTCATGACTCACCACAGCAGTTTCTCGAGGCATCCCTTTCAGTTTGTACCAGCGATCTGCAATGTTTGCTTTCACATCTTGCAGTTCTTCCTTGAACAATGTTTCATTCATTTCAGCGTCCCGTCCTCCCTCTTCTTTGATTCTTTTCACCGTTCTTTTCTTCAGTGAATTCAGGAGAGTGGATGACTGAAAAGCATGAAATATTGGTGTGTTTCCAAATTAAGCGTAAAGTAGATATTTTGCTATCAGCGATAAAACTAGATGCCGGACAATCAAACATTTCCATTCACCACACAAATTTGAAGAAACAGAAAATTATATCACAAATGTTTTGTAATGAAAACTAAAATTTATTTGGGTGTTTAACATGTTAACATATTGTAGTATTCACATATTTATCCTGGGGCGCAGGAAAGCGAATTAGAAAGCCGATAAGGTGCTGTGCCACGGCTCTCACGCGGTTGCTATTCCATGTTTGGTATGGGATTAGTTAGCCAATTGCGTGACTGACCAGCAGTTATGTGAACTACCCTATGGCGGCCAGGAGTCCAGCAATCCTCTTGCACATATTCATCCCCGCATTGGGTTTGAACCTGCGAACCCACGCAGGGTAATCAGAGGTTCGGTGGCGAGCAAATTTCTAATGCTTAGCACGATGAATCACACCTCCGACATGTGAGGAATATTAAATTTAATTATTGTACCTTTTTCCTGGTTGGTGTTCCCATTCCATCTCCGAATCCCAGAGAAAATGATCCCCTTTTATCATTTTTCCTGTCAGATATTGTGTTTTGTGGGGAAGGCATTGGTGATAATACTTTATCTGGAAGTTCATAAGCTTGTCGCATCTTTATGACTGGGTAGTATGATTCAATCTCTTTGCTGAAAAAATGTTTTTTAATTATTTAGAATGATAATATTTTTCAGTATTTATGAGGTGTCCCCGTCTCCCCCCATCTCTTCTCAAAACAAAGTTATGAGCGAGAATCCATTAATATGTGAGGTGTTACTATTGTTGTATAGACTGGGCCCAATTTATAACACCTTGGATAAGAATCGGCATTTTTTGGCTCAAGGTTCGGAGCTGCCTGTTGTATTATCATCTTTGCCTCTCTCGAGATAAACATAAAAACCTTAACCTATCTTAATCCAACAATTTAATCAATTTCATCTATATACTTACTCCCAATTGCTCTTCTTATAATCTCCTTTGACAAACTGAATCCTGAGAGCAGCAAGTTGTCGAGTGATCTCATCATTCAATGGATACAAACCATGGATCACTTGTTCATGGATCTAAAATTTAAAGTATGATTAGAATTATGTTTCTATGACAAGGCTGTGAAAAAGGCATTGGACCAGCTGCCATTGATATATTAAGATCTACTAATACCACAATTCCAGAGCCTTCAACCTAAAATGGCAGATTCTAAATCCTGAATCAAAAATAGAAAGAGGTAGAAAGATGCAAGTATGCTATGTTATCATTTATACAAGTTTGCTTAGAGCAAGGTCTTGAACCCTCAACTCAACGAGAACTAATCGAAGAGTTGCAAGTGAATATTTGATGTGCTAAGATAGGTCTCTCAACAGAGATAATATCAGTGATTTGACACAAATTATTTCAATAGATCTCCATCAGCAAAATTCCACCATGAAACAGATGAGATATGTCATTTTAAACTTCACCATGTTACCAAGACGGTGGATGACACACAAGACGATACTTGGGAAACAGATAAAACTTCAAATGGCATATCCATGCATCTATATCTAACATGGGAAAACTACGGCCTGCGAGCCAAATCCGGCCTGTTGGGGAGTTCAATCTGGCCCACCTGATGCTGCCACAACCCAACTAACACCAAACTTTGATGTTTAACCTGAAAAATGGAATTTGTTAAGATTGCGATTAAATTTAGTTTCGGCACGAGGCTTATTGTTTCTGCATTTACTTTTGTAGCACTGTAAATATTGTTTATAAAATGTAGCTTTTTACGTTAAATTTTCATGACCTGCCAATCCAGGTGGCAAAATCTTTGACCCCTGGTCCGAAAACCTTGCCCCCCCCCCCCCCCTGATCTATATACTTCCAACTATTGGACCCACCTCCTCAAACAAGAACAAATATTCAATTGATGTTTCTTTTGCTTGCATTGGATTGAAGACACAGAACAACTTAAAATAAAGTATCCATTGGTTTTCCTGTGGTACAGAATTTCGAGCAATTCCACCGTTTAACCTGGGAATTCAAAGTAAGAAATTGTTAGAAAAAAAAAATCAAATCTGTGGCACTCCTATAAATGGGATGGGGTCACTGATGATTTGTTCGAGTTTGCATGAACTCATTCTTAGGATGTCATGATATTCGGTGAGCTCATTGCCCGTCTGTATTATACCTTATATGACTGCAGCTAATGAGCACTGTAGTCGACTACTAGAGTTATATTTAGTGTTTTGAAAGTTATGAACACGATTTACAATTTTAAAATTTTGAATCACACCACTGAGAGAAATTTTAGTGAAAAATAGGTTTGCAACATTTATGCAACAACTATGTTGGCATAACAGAATAAAGATCTTGAGGTCAAAATCCATACACTTCATCTTACTCGAGGTGTGATAAACTGGGTACGTAATTGAAGCTGGAGGGACTCCAGTCCTCCAGTACTTACATACCGTATTTCCCCCAAAATAAGGTCTAGCCTGAATCTTAAAAATTATTTTAATATAAGTGCTCTCCTTAAAATATGACCTTGTCGATATCACAAATCTTTTTTCAAAATAAACATATTATTTATAAGTGAACGGTTTATATATTTTGTATGTTTGAAAATTTCGTAATTTTCTACTCGGTAATCTTGTTTTTGATAAATGAAAATGAAAGACATCACCCAAAAATAAGCCCTAGTGTTATTTTTTGGAAGAAAATTAAAATAAGACCCTGTTCTATTTTCAGGGAAACACGGTATCAGTAGCTGTTGTAAAGCACATAGATCATCATGTATTGAAAATTTATGCTTAAATTCATAATAAAACAATTATTCCTAGTTTCATTAATTATGATCATGTATGTACATGGGCCAAAGTGAAAAATAAATCAACAATCTGTCATTTTCTTTCATTAATTTACTTCTCACCTTTCAAACTTCGCGATCACATCGGCAACAATAGTATTACTTTCAATCGCTTTATCTTCAGATCCGCACCGCTCGAATAACGCGAATGTATTTGTGTTGTTTTCTAACTGCATTCCTCTAAGAAGTTTCTCCACAACCTAAAAATAATGATAAAAGAATTTAACTATGCATTTCAAGAGTCTTGTTGTACATTAACACAAATGAATTTCTGTAATGTTCCGTCTAACTAAGGTCTGATTTCAACAGACAAGCAGTTTAAAAGATTGATCCTAGACAAGTTTACTGCTTGTCGCTAGAAGTCTAATTATTTTGATCAGACGGAAAGCTACAGAAATACATTTGTGTTAGTGTGCAGCAGGACTCTTGAATTGCATAGTATGGTCATTTTTATTACTCCTACAGCACTCTTGCATTTTACTATCTTGGTGGTGCAATTTGAAATTTCGAGTTGAAATCCCATTCCCATCATCTCACCAAGGGTAATAAATGGTGCAATGTCGAAACAGAAACATTCCAGTCCTTCCAAAACATAGTAGGGCCTTACACAGGGTGTCTAATAATTTTATAGTAATAATATTAAAAAATTGCCCCGTCTTTGTTTATTAATAGTTCTTATTGTGCTTGTAGTTCCCATTTATCATACAATAAAATTTATTTAAACTTATGTTATTACTCTAAAATGGAATAAAATTTTCAATTGTTATTACTATAAAATCGACAAAATTTAAATTGTTATTACTATAAAATCAAGCGAAATTTGTAATTTTTATTACTGAAAAAATGGAAAAAATTTTTGGACACTCTGTATATCGTTAGATTTGATGCTTTAATACAGCCTTGTTCATAGCAAAAAGTGTGAAAAACATCACTTTACCTCTCCAGCAGTAGTAGCCGAGTGAATCTGTATTTCACAGGTTGCTCCTCCATAGCAATAAATCGTTGTTACAAGGCTTTGTAGTTCGAGTATTGTGATAATTTCTTCGAGTGACGGAACTTCCATCCTGTGTCGAGTTCTTTGCAACGAATCGATTGCATATCCTGCATATTGTGCTGCTGGTGACTCTGGATATTTTTGAATAACTCTGTAAAAAGAGGAAGATGGCAAAGTGTGAAGCTTGTATTTAAATGAAGGTTTACTGACTGGTTAATATGCTTTGTTTACTTTGGTTTGACAGTTCGAACACTTGTGCCAACCTTTAGGGACACGCTTGCCATTGCATCTCTGATTATTGTCGTGTGTGGGTTCACAGTTTCAAATCTTGTGAGAGATAATTATGAGTGAGAGGATCACCGCCGTAGGGCGGTTTATGTAGCCACTGGTCGGTTACAGATACCTCCACTATCAAGTCCAAAAATCTGAAATAAATAACTGGCTGAGCGTTCTCATACTCTACATGGGACTGGTATGCTAATGCAGCAATTGCTGCATTAGCATCACCCTTTCTTATAATTGAGTGTTTTATCATCTTTTCTCTCCCACCAGGATATAAAATTCAATCCTTCATAATAAGAGTGCACAATTGTTAGAAAAATCCTTGCCATTGCACCTCTTATTACTGTGTGTGGGTTCAGAGGATCGAATCTTGTGAGGGATAATTATGTGCGAGAAGATTGCTGGACTTCTTGCCTTCGTAGGGCGGTTTATGTAACCACTGGTCAGTTACAGCTTCCTTCCCTATCAAGTCCATGCAGCTGAAAACAAAAAACTGGTCAACTAATCTCATACCCGACATGGTACACTAAATCTGCAATTGCTGCATCACCATTAACCTATCTTACAACACAACTGTGTTATCAGCTGCCTTGTCCCAGGATAAAAAAATATAAAATCATCCAATTCTCACCTGTTCAAATGGAACCTCAAATACTGCATAACTTTCCTAGAAGGATGATACGCACAGCACATACAAGCGATAAGATGCCAGTAGTGCGGACATGACGTTACGTGAAGTTGTGATTGCCGTTGTTCGTCTGTCACTAGAGGCGTTTGATAGACAGCTGTCTGCTTTATTAGTTGAAGATAAAATTCGTCTTGTAATGATTGAATTCCGTGGAGAGAGGAGAGGATGTTCTGTTAGAGAGTATAGTAATAATGTGAATAACGAGTATTTGAGGAAATGATTGTGCGAAAATAGTAGAATCGTGTGAATAATCACGAAGACATTTTTCAATTTTGCTTCAGAATTTGCGAATATGCATCTATACAAGAAGTCACCGATATGTCGAGAGCTACTGGAAAAAAAGTGGAATTCTTCTGCTTCGTTATCAAATTCCCAGCTTTCTACACCCTGGGTGTGAATGGGATTCGAACGTGGTTCGCAAACCAAAGTTTTCTGTAAGCCATAAATGCAACTCTATTATGATACCAGGCTTTAAGAGCTACTATTTTTTCAAAAGACTGGAATCTCCTAGTATGAAATTCTCAGAGCTCGGAACCTGAAAACCTCAACAATCACGCCCATTGAATCCACGCAGGTGCTATATCATTATCATTGAACAAATTTTCAGCTATTGATTTTCAATCAAAGAGTATCACGCCTAAGTTGGTAGAGATACCCGGGCCACCATTTGCAATACAGTGCAAATATGCTATATGTTAAAGCGGAAAGACTCCTAAATTAAAAAGATTCCCGTTTACTATTTGAATCATAATGAGAACTCCCTTATTATGAGGAATATCAATTTTCCTGCATTTCTGGAGTCTTGTTCGGAAAGACAATGAATACCTGTATTGCTGAGGCTTCTTCTTCAATGCTCTGATAGGTCTCGGTTTCCATTCGTAATAAAACAGAGAACAACCTGGTGGCTTCGTCTCTAAGAGTGAAATGATCGTCACGATATGGTACCTGAGGAATGAAGATTATTTTGTTTATGCTTATTATTATTCTAGCATGAGTGGAATTCAATAGTTATTTTCAGCAAACAGGTTCTTATCCAAGTTGGTTATATTTCCAGATCATGTAGGATGGCAAGAGTTAACCAGTTATTGATTCCAGATCTAGGGGCTATGGTGGAATGTTTGCGAGCCATTACAGTAGCTCAGACTCGAAACAATTGCACATTCCCTACTTATGGGCTGAAATATTGGATATACAAAACCATCCAGTGTAGATAGAATAGATAGAAATCAGTTTTTTCAGATTTCCTCCTCGTGGAAAGTCTGGAACTCTTGCGTTTAGAATGCGTAACTAGTTAACTATTCAGTAGACCAGGAGTGAGCAAGGTTTTTGAACCACAGACCAAAAATTTTGCCCACCTAGACTGGCGGGCCAAGTAAAGTGCGACGTATAAAGTTACCGTACATTTTATGAACAATATTTACAGTGCTACAAAAGCAAAAATGGAAAACAATGAGCCTCGTGCCAAAATTAATTGCAATCTCAAAAAATTCTTTCAGCTAATTTAAACATCTAAATTTGGTTTTAGTTTCATTCGTGGAAGCATCAGACGGGCCAGATTGAATTACCCAATGAACCCTATTTGGTCCGCAGGCCATAGTTTACTTATGTCAGCTCTAGACTGAAAACCAGAGAAGAGGTTGTGGTTTGCCAAATTCAGTCATCTTATCGACTTTCATCTCCCACAAGACAATTATGAAAATCTTATCTTTCTCAAAATTTTTATCCACTCTCCTAATTTTAACATTTAACTTTACCAACCTGTTCATACATAAGTGAGAGCAGTGGCGATCGCATCGGTTCATCAGTTTGTCGTAAAACTGGATTCCTCTTGTAAATCAAATCAATCTCTTTCTCATTTTCAAGATCCTGAGAAATAATAAATGATAGTAATTTTTGACTTATTAATTATTAATAGATAATATATCGAAGTTTATTATATTCAATAGAACAATGTTCGAATATATCAGCACAAAATGGCTGACCATGGTACAGCAAAATTATTGGAGTGCAAAACATTTCGTAACATGTTTCAACAAGGGAGCAATTCTTGAATATATGGATGTGAATGTTAAATGACTAGTATGGCCACCGCAATGTCAGCAAATTTTCAAACAATTGTTAGAAAGAATTAAACTAAATGTCATTTGAATATAGTGTGGTCGTAATGACTACCGCAATTCCAGCAACTGTTATAAGAATTGTATTGAATGTCATATGAAGGTGTTTAGTGACTTCAGCCATCCTCATGATTTAGTGTGCCGGTGTTCGCTTGCAACCGGTTTACCACCAGTGCTTTGGACACCCTTTTCGAGCAAACCTATATGAAATAGTAAATCCTATCTCAGCTTATACACAACTTATGCTCAGGCCCATGAGCCTGATTACCCTTTATCGGTCTTGCATACCAACCCGCACATGACAAAGATCGATTGTTAAATCATTTTTACTATTGGCTTTTATTATAATCGTGTTGACTCTATTTTTATGATAATGAATACCTCTTTCATATGACCCAATGCAGTATTTGAAATACAAACCTTAAATCTGCTCAGAAGTTGTTCAGTTCTCGAGACGACGTCACCGTGACCGTCGATGATATTCTGGATCTCGTTATACCAGGTGGAAGCATCGTTATAAAGCTTAGAATTCAAACGTAGCGTGTGCTTGCGACCGTACACAACTACTTCCCAGAGACCAGTGATTTTCTGAAGGAAACGAAATATTAGTATTGTGTAAGGCTATAAGGTAGAAAAATGAATTAGTTTGTTATGGACAGACTTATCAATATTGCAATCCCAACCCATTGTGAACAAAACTAGTGCAGGGGTACACAGGTCTTTGGAAGGAGCCCGAGATGAATAAGGTCTGATTCTGGAGACAGTATTTTTTAAACTGGAATAAAAGTTGGTACACCATTCTAAATGCCAGAAACTCATGCAGAGATAATTATGTGCGAGAGAATTGCTGGACTCCTCGCTGTCAGAGGGTGGTTCAAGTAACCGCTGCTCAGTTACGGCTTCATCCATGGACAGTTTCGCTGTGTTTTGCCATATGATTAAACCAATTTATCGATTTTCTCCTCTCCCGAGATAAATAGGTAAATCCAATCCCAACCAATCAATCGCTGTTATAAAAACACACCCACGTATTTAACCAATCATAACCAACCTGTTGTTCCTCATCAGGGGCTGTAACAATACATAAACTATTCAACGCCAGGCATCCTAGTTTCTGAGAACTCGTCGGACTCTTGTAATATTCGACAGTATTCGGCGTTAACTTGAAATAACGACGCTGGAATGTCAATCGATTTCGCTCCACTAAACCTCTCAAAAGCCATCCTTGCGTTCCGGAGCCATGGTTCTGTAAAAAACAGTAATTAAAATTGAGAGCCATGGTTCTGTGAAATACAGGGTTAAAAATGAGTTTGATTTGAAGAACATATATTTCTGTGTATTCATTTATATATGAAAGTATCAGTACACACCGATATTGATTAAATTGAACTAATTGGAAACAAGACACACAAAACTTAATTTTCTATGATAAATTGTAATGTGACGGAAATTGGCTTTGTGAGAATTTGAAAATTTTATGGATATTCATCTAAATAACAACAGCAAGGCAGCTCTGAATCCAAATGTTCAAACACAACGTACTGTAATACGAGCAGCTGTATTAAGAAAATATAGTTTTTTTTTTAGACAATTTGGCACAGTGTAAGTAAATGCTTGTATAAAAAAGCCAAGCTAAAACAATATTCTAGCAAGAGTAAAAGCTTCTCCTAAAAGAATCTAAATCAGTGGTTCTCAAATGGTGGGGCGCTCCCCACGAGGGGGGAATAGACACTTTTTGAGGGAGCGGTGGGCTAAATAAAAATATTTGTTAGATTTGATTATGCCCGACTTATATTGGATACTCATTTTGGATTTCTTATTTCGTCAGCCAAAAACAACTGCAATAATAAATATAAGTTAACTTTTTTCATTTATTTTCAATATTTGCGTTCCATCCACGTATTTTCAACTTGTTTTTTGAATAAAACCTACTTTCGACTACTATTTGTTACTTTGAGGTGGGCCGCGAGACTTGACAAAAAGGGGGCGTAAATTAAAAAGGTTTGAGAACCACTGCTTTAAACCCTTCTTCAAATTGAACTTACTCCTCCATGCATTGCCGTATTCTTTTTACTTTCATTCAGCATAGTTATCCAGTGATGCATTTCATCAGCCGATTCACAAGCGAATGAATGAACTCTCTGTGCAGTTGTGAGAACAAATGTGTGTTGCTTGCCTGAGGAAAAATGAATTATTTAGCATTTAATCTGAAGGATAGAAACAGTATTGTTAACACTCTGATTGGGGATTGAACCTGCAATCCCTGGATTAGATAGCCAATGCCTTATCCACTAAGCCACCATAAAGTTTTGTAGTCAGAATCAACATTCTGAAGAGACGATAAGCCAGCTTAATCATATGGCAAACCACAGCGTTTCATCCAAGTGTGACGTGGCGGTGTGGCTCAACGGGCTAAGCGTTAGGAATACGCTCGCCACCGCACCTCTAATTACTCTGCGTGGGTTCGCAGGTTCGAATCCCATGCAGGGATGGTTATGTGCGAGAGAATTGCTGGACTCCTCGCCGTCGTTGGGTGGTTCACGTAACCGCTGGTCAGTTACAGCTTCCTCCATCACCAAGTCCTTTGCTTCCGAAAAAACAAACAATATAACTAATCCCATACCCGACTTGGAATGGTAGCCGGACGGGAGGCCGTGGTTCGCCATATAGATAAGCCGTCTTATTGGCTTTCCTCTCCCCCGGGATAAATATGTAAATCCTATTCTATCAAGTACTAGTCCATGTTGGGTATGGGAATGGTTAGCCAGTTACTTGTTCCAGATGCATAGACTTGATGGTGAAGGAAGCCGTAACCAACGAGTGATTACGTGAACCACCGATTGGCAGTCAGAAGTTTAGCAATCTTCTCGCACATATTTATCCCCACAAACGATTCAGAGGTGGTGCAATATCCCTAATACAATCCCTGTCTTGAATAGCCGAGGTATTACCACCTCTGGACCAGGCCATCACAAGGTATTGTACTTACCAGGCAATTGTGCAGCATTAACATTCTGTATATCTTGAACATCTACAGTTCCAGATGCATTCCTAGGATTCGCAGGTGCTTTCTCCATGAAGGAGATGTCCTGTGGGGTTCCGGATTGAATCTTGCCTAGAATGCTAAGAGTAAAGATATAACATTTAGTTCGAGGGTTTCTCAAATTGGGTCTCTGGTCCCGTAAGGCGTCCACGTGGAGTTACTCTGATGGCCACAAACAAAAGCCTTCACTATGTACCATTTGCAATGACTACATCGATTTGAGATTGGCTGTGACTTGTTGATTCTTCGATTTTTATTATCAATCATGGCGAATAAATTAACTGATAGAAACACTACGATGCAAAACTAATTATCCATATTATAAAGCAGGGGCTACGAAGTGTTTAGTCTACAGAGCGGGGCAGGGATCATGAAAGTATGAGAAGCACTGATTTAGTAGTAGTGCGTAATCAGTTTATTTTTCCAGCAAACTGAAAATACATATTGTGCATACAGACTGCAAGGATTAAATTACTTCAGAAAGGGAAAAAAAAACAAGAAAAAACAAATACTGGGTATCAAACAGTGATAACTTGAATGAAATATATCAGAAAATAAAAAATAAAAATGCAGTCTATCCGATCTTCAACCTTAGTCAAACTCTCCATTTATGTACAAAAAGCAAGGTAGTCACACCCACCAATCAAATCCTTAATCCCTGCCACAACTTTTTACCTGAACCAATCAGAGGTGTAAGTCTTAGGACCCCCCTTAGTATGCACTTTCTTCATGAGGAGTTTTACATTCCTAAAATAGGACATTCAAATTTCAAATTCAGTCACACCCATTACCTGAACCAATCAGAAGCCTCATCTTCATTCTCAGCAGCAAGATGATGAGTCTTTGTTGATGACATAATGATATCTATACCATTCTCCTTCTCGACTTCATCAAGGACTTCAGTGGCTTTGTGGATGTCGATTGAACCTGAGAATAGATTGAAATTGATTCCACTGCAAGGTTATATTTATCTTAAGGGAGAGGAAAGTCCCAAAGATGGCTTAATCACATGACAAACTGCAACCTTTCATTCGGATATCAGTCTATGTCAGTTATGGGATTAGTTAGCTGGTTATTTGTTTCAGATGCATGGACTTTAATTGTGGAAGCAGCAGTTACCACACTGGAGCTGTAAGCCTACAGAGTTGAAGTTCTTCAATTAGGTAGTGTCCCACATAGTTAGCTTCAGCTAATCAGGTAATAAATCCTCGATACTTTGATATCTGAACGTTTTAAACCTTACTTGAGGTTTTGTTCACTTTCCTGATTCCATATATTCCGTTTTATTTATTAGTTTTTATCACTTATTTAATCATCGAATATACTGATTATGGAGTCAAAAATAAACTTATACTACTTATACTTATTTGAACAAGTGATAAGATAAACCAATCATATGACGCCCCATTATCATTCATACTTGTAATGTCTTATAACTGCTGTATTATAGCTGCATTCAATTGGTTTCACACTGCATGATGAAGTGGAAAGTTGCAATGTATCATGTGGGGAGATTGCCAGTTATTAATAGTTTTTCCATTATTTACTGTGCAAGTGATATTTTGTTCATGGTACATGCTGGTTTGACAGATGTTGTACTGCTGACATTACGATTACGATAATGTTATATGAGTGAAGCATGTCAGAACTTGTAGCGAGTCTTGTAATCTTTAATCACGGTATAGAGTACTGGAGGGACATACTAATAACATGCTTGAAAACATTGTCTGATCATTAAAGTTGCCAATACAATACTTTACAGTTGTCAAACCAGTACTTCGTGGATAGTCAAACATTCCAGATGGAACTTTGATTTCTTACCTTTAGATTTGGCTCCTTCTTCATCTGTGTCAAAATATTTCAATTCTTTATCATCCACGATGAACCATCTGAAAAAATTATTTAATTTTCGTTCTTATGCTGTGGTGTATTATCACTATGCCTCAATAGGATAGGATTTACATATTTATCCCGGAGAGGAAAGAAAAACTAATAATATGGCCTAATCATATGACGAACTAGAGCCTCTCGCCCGATTACCAGTCCATGTCGAGTATGGAATTAGTAAGCCATTCATTTGTTTCAGATGCACGAACATGAATTAAACCCCACGGCCAACTTACCCAGGGTGTAATAAAATTGTGTGCAAAATGCCAGACCTTGTTTACCCAAAACACGATGTATACCACCTTTAGCTGCTTGTTTAAACCAGAGTGGTGAAATAAACTCAGTAGAAACAGGCTTCAACATATTTTGCCGTATAAGACAATATATTATTACTTTACTTTTTTTTTATATGCCCCCTTATACAGAAGGCCACTAGGGATGTAAGTTTCGAATATTTTATTTTCGAATCAAATTTCCAATCAGAATGTTTTGATTCAACAATTTTCGAATTTGAATATTATCGTTAACTTTCTTTAAATTTGGAAGAACTGTAAGATTAATTGCAATTAGCTAACAATAATGAATTTTAACAATGAATAAATTTAGTAGACAAAAACAGTTGTTTTAAACAACGTATAGTATTATTTTCTTCTAAAATTGACCATTATAATTCATAATATAAATATGCGTTAGTACTGTTTGCGCCATAATTTTAAAAAACCAATGATTTGGAGGAAGGTATCACAGAATTATGTTTTCAAGACTTATGTTTTTAATGGGGAATAATGTTGTTATTATAGTGACATTACATAGGTAATGTGAAGACATGTTTATATGATGACATAAAAAAAATTAGCGAAACCATTTGGTCCTCTGAAACTGTGACTCATATGAGATATAACAACTCCTGGAGTGTTACGACTTGGGAAAGCTGTAAACGTAATGCCTTACTTTTTCTGCCATGCCTTCCTAGGCAAGGTGCCACGAATAGTTCCAGCTTTGCCAGTCTTTTTATAAAGCCATCCACACTTGATGAATTCTTGCTTGCTTCGGAAAAACATAAACATATCGTCTCGGAGTACACACCAACGCCGTTTCCATTGGTTACGCAATCCTCCCTGAATATGAAAAAAGACAGCTTTTTAAACCGCAAAAACTCTATACAAGTAAACACTGACATGCAAGGTGTTCTAAAATGCCAATTCTCCTTCACTAAAATCAAGTAACTTTATTTTTATCATCTGTAAAGATGTCACAATCCAATGAAAAACATTAGGGAGATTGGGGAAATATTAGTTTTTCTACATTCTTAATTTCATATTCTGTAAGTGTATTCACATATTGTGGGAGAATAAACTACTGGTTACTGAATTTATTACTGTATGAAATCTTGTTCGGGGTGAAGTTGGATATCAAGCTATTCATAATATCTCCAATATATGAGACTGGGGAAAAACTTGTACAATCATGAAAGTTATTTCAGAAGCCAGCCGGGAATAGTTTTTCCAAGGAAGATTCCAGTCTTTTTGAAAATTGTCGTTCTCTGTATATTATAGCATGCTTGCACAGAGCCTTGTTTCCAGAGACAATGCGAAAACCTCCCCATGAAAAAAAAATTACCTGTCACTCACCTTAATATATAAGTATCCATGGAAATACACTGTGGGGCGCCAGTGAGATTCAGGTGTTGAACTAACGATTGTATCAGTATCTGCTCCCTCCTCACTGATATCCTCGTCGCTTGAGAAGGATGAATCGGTGAAATAAGAATCAGTTTCTGTCTGAGGATAGCAGGAGTCTTCACCTAGAAAAGTGAATATGTTATTGGAGGAAAGCGGAGTAATAGAACATGATCATGATAGTTTGAGTCTGGAGTATTGAGTAAAACTTCCAAAACTTTTAATCTCGCGATCCCCTTCCAATTTTTTAAAATTTTTCGTGACCCCTGTTAAGTCGGCATTGTTATGCAAGCGTGTCGCATCTCTGATTCTACGTATTATCTCAAAATAGTAAGATTTATGTTTTCCACTAGTTTCATTAACTGTCTTTATTCCAGGATTGTGTCATTAGTGCACTCATGGGGGGGTCATGACCCCCAGTTTGAGAAACCTTGGTCTAGAGGGCTTTGTCGTGGCATAATAGAATGCAATTTTATCTGATTTCAGTAGCTTTTGCATTTTAATTGTTGTCCGTAAAACATTCATTCAACTTACCAGGTGACATGTCATAAACGTGTTCTTCTTCTGCCGGCATTGTTGGAATTTGAGTAACTACCTGTTCTTCTTCCTCATCTGACTGCAGAGGAGTGATATCTTTCACAGCTTTAGTATCAATCAATTCATCTATCGTGTTTTCCAATTCTTTGAAACCGAGATCCTAAAAATTGAAAAAAGTGTTGGTTGTGTGATTTGTAAGAAATCCTAACCGTTTCACAATTCATGCTGCACACTGACATGAGGCTCAATCTGCTTATAATGCAAGGATGATGTAGCAAGAGTAAAAATGACTATTCTATTTAATACAAGAGTCTTGCTGCACACTAACAAAGTTAGAGGCATTCACTCATAAGTAAAAAAGAATCATTTCTGCGGGCATTTACTCAGAAGTAAGAAAAACACTCATTACTGAGCAAAGTTACGGGCATTCACTCAGAGGTAAGAAGACTCATCTCAAAGCAAAGTTACAGGGACTCACTCAGAAGTAAAGGAGACTCATCTCTGAGCAAAGTTACGGGCACTCACCCAGAAGTAAAGGAGACTCATCTCTCAGCAAAGTTACGGGCACCCACCCAGAAATGAAAGAAACTCATGTCTGAGCAAAGTTGCGAGCACTCACTTAAAAGTAAAGGAGACTCATCTCTAAGCAAACTTACAGGCACTTGCCCAGAGGTAAAAAAGACTAATTTCTGAGCAAGATTACAAACACTAACTCAGGAGTAAAAGACAGTCATCTTTAAGCAAAGATACACGCACTCATTCAGAAGTAAAAGAAATCTCTGAGCCAAGTTACAGTTACTCACTTAGAAGTGAAGGAGAATCATCTCTGAGCAGGTTACAAGCACTCGCTCAGAAGTAAAGGAGACTCATCTCTGAGCAAGCTACGTTCCCTCACTCAGAAGTAAAAGAGACTCATCTCTAAGCAAAGTTACGAGCACTCGCTCAGACGTAAAAGAGACTCATCTCCGAATTAGTTACGGGCACTCACACAGAAGTAAATTGATAAGCAAATGTTGCAAACAAAAATATTTGAAATCAGTGAAAAATAGCTCTTGTATTATTCATTCACCTTCAGCAGATCCATATCACCGACATCTCTGTCAATTTCTCCGAATATGTCATTTTCGAATAAAGTTTTTTCCGGCTGAGAATAGAAACGTAATATTGAGCATAATAATAGGCAAAACTGCATAATCTACAATTCTGCATGAAAATTTATTTTTGATACTGTCATGTTTTATCACACTGCTCGCAAGCTTAAATGCAGATATGAGAATATGCCATCGTATTTTTTTCATTCATATTCCATGTCACAATGTGGGTAGTACTCTTAAATCTCATGTCTTTAACCTCATTCAAAGTGGACACTTTTCTGAATTTATGTCCTGTTTGTATTGTGTGTTATAATTTTTTGGCACCATGTTAAATTATTCATTTATGATATCACAAGATGGTATTCCTAATGCTTTGTTTCTTAGCTAACCTTCCTTCCAAAACTGTCAATATTTATTTTTTTGGCACCATGGCGGGGTTTGAATGAATTTATCCCCATATCCTTTCACAGGATGATATGGTGATAGCATTCTTAACGCATGGATCTTTAACTATCTAAAAGTCTTCTTCCCAAATCTGTCAATAGTCAGTTACCTGTGGTGCAACATACTGCAGGGCTGCGATTTCTCTTTCCAGTTGCAGAATTCTCTCCATTTCACTCTGTTCTGCTTCATTAAGTTCGTCATCAGCATTGGGAACATCGTAAATGTCTTGCACTGGTAATTAAATAAACAATAAATCAATGCTTGAATATATAATGAATGTGATGTAGCAGGAGCTGGTACTGGGGTAACTGGCCTCAGCTGAGCAGATGACAGATTAGTCTGATGGGATGTCACATGGTTGCGCAATATGAGTTAAAATAGCCAAATTCTTGGTGAAAGTTCGAGCCATGTAGGACTGGAGATTAAAAATTTAAAAAAATTTCTTGCAGCTCCTCCTGTCATTAGGTACAGAAACGTTGAAATTGATAGGTGTATTGAATATGTAAATAAATTTTGTTTTCCTTACAACAAACAATTGATCAAAACAATCGATATGCAGGATTAGATTTTAAATATTCAACTTGGGAAGAGAAAACTTAATAAGACGACTTGATCATACGACAAACCATGGCTACCCTCCGAGTACCAGTCTATGTCGGGTATTGGAATAGTTTTTTTGTCCCACATGCATGGTCTTGATGGCAAAAAGCCTCACAGGGTAACGTCAGTACGATGGCAAGCATGTTCAGTATGTTCCCCAGCATTTTATTTTAGGGGGGTGTTTCCAAATATAGGGGGGGGGGGGGGGTAGATATTTCGCTATTAGTGATAAAATTTTTTGTAACTTATAAAAATGTGGGAGATAGGGATAACACCGTTGTTCCAACTGTTCCCAATGCTCAGCACTATGCACCAGCCATCAGGGTTAACTTCGTGTTCAATAAAAATTTATTACATGAATACATTCTCTTCTAATATAAATCCACTTACTGATATTCTCTCCTTTTCTTACTGTTGAATAGGCACTGTCGACATTTGCAAGATCATCCGCATCTTTCAATACGACATCCAAGTCCGCTAGTATTGCACTCTGAAAAAAGGAAGGTTGGTTAGAAGAGGAATAGGAACGATATCTAAGGGAACACTGAATTAATCAGAATCTAATTCTCATTCAGATGTTCTGTAAAATCATTAGATCACTGCAGATAAAATAGAAGAGAATTCCATATTTTGCAAAAAGGAGGTAAGCAGATATCACATCTTAATCGCGGCTCAGGATAGGATAGCATTTACATATTTATCCGAGAGAGTGAAAGCCAATAATACGGCTTATTTATATGTCTCACATCCAATTATTATCAGCTTATCAGAAAAATATAAAAATATTAATGTATTCCTACGGCAATTAACTTAAAAAAAACTAATACGAGTCACTAATCACAGTGACTAGAACAAAAATATAAAATTGTTTGAAAAATTAGTCTGTTAGTTTCTAACTAAACATGCAATGTTAATTTTTGATTAAAAAAAACAAAGACTGGTAAACAACAATACATGGGGGGACAGAAAACAAGGGAAAACCACCAGCTGCATCTACCAAGTAGTGATTTTCAGATGGCCTGAATCACAAATTCATTGTATATTCTATATTATAAATAAAACTGGGAGACGACCTGTCAGGAGATTAGGTGTCATTTACATGAACATTCACTGTTTAAATGCTCTTGGGTGAATGCTGTGCACACGTTCACTTAAATAGCAGAATATCACCTTTGCTGTCACGCTAGTCCCAAAAAAAGCAAAATTTGGATGAAAAAAGAGCCCAAAGTAATTTTCAGAACAACGAAAATCTGGATCCGCGGGTTAATTATGTTAATTTTCATGCAAATCATATTTTCTAAGTAGTATATAATGTACTGGGGATTACCCCTCCTCAAGTACACTAATTTTCTCATGCGGATTAAATTCTTTCAAAAAAAACTGTTTCGGTTTTTTCCTGATGCAAATTAGTATTCAATATACTGGGGCATACCCTTCCCTGATTTGTTAATTTATTCATTTTGATTTTCCGCGTTGTAATTTAGTATATAATCTACAGGGGAATACCCCTTCCCTATTTTGTTTATTTTTCATTTTGATTTGTCTGCATCATGCAAATTAGTATATAATCTACAGGGGAATACCCCTCCCTATTTTGTTTATTTTTCATTTTGATTTGTCTGCATCATGCAAATTAGTATATAATTTACAGGGTAATACCACTCCTCTAATTTGTTAATTTTTTGTTTTGATTCGTCACCGCCATGCAAATTAGTATTTAATCAACTGGGGAATACCCCTCTTCTATTTTGTTAATTTTTCATGCTGATTACATTCAATCCACAAACTTCTAATTACTTCTCTCAAGCTTGCCTTTGGTCGGTTTTCTATAAAACTTGTCGAGTCTTCCTCATAAAACGGGAACGGTTCGTCATTGAAATTAGGGGATTTCCCAGATAAATTTTCAATCCCTGGGGAGGTCATGAAGTCATCCTCACTAGGACTTAACGCATCTTCATCCAAAGATGGGGGTAGGGGTAAAATTTGGGGCTGAGTGGGGACAATTTCGATTTGTGTTTCAGTGAGTAATTTTCTACTAACAGCTTCCAGATCTAGTTTTTGTTGCTTTGCTGATTTTTCTTCTTCCTGAAAATTTGTTAAACTCGCAAAATAATATTTCTGAGATGTAATTCTCCTTTTGTCACCAGTGGGATTCAAACCCATGACCTATGCTTCATAAGTTCAATGCTTAATCCACGGTGAGATGGAGAAAGTTTTCAGGAATTTGAATAATTGAACGGAAGTACAACTAACGTTAGATGTTAAATTGATGTATTTATAATTATGACACACTGGTGAAGTGAGTCGTAAATCAGTGATAAATGGGCTGTTTGCATTAAAATGAAAACAACTTTGTATGACTATTATATAAAAAAAACATTCATGACATGACATTTGGGTCTACCGGGCGGGATGTAGGACAGCATGTCAAAAACAGGACTTACTAGGATAAGATGAGATCTTCGTATTTATCTTGGGAGGAAAGGAAAAGATGGCTAAGACATAAACAAATGTATGGCTAGCGGTTCATGGAAACATAACCGACCAGCGGCACTGACAGTGAGGAGTCCAGCAATCAAATTCATGCTAGATATATAGAGCCTATTCATTTATCAGTTATCCAGTTGTTTTGTCTCGTTTTACCAAATACGAAATTCGCATTCTCAAGCTATTATTAATAAAATTTCAACAGTAATCATATATTAAAAATCACATAAGTCACTCTTACCTCTCTTCTCTGTCTCTCCACTTCTTCTAGTTCTTTTTCTCTGGCAATTCGAACCTGTTTGAATAAAAAGCAAATTTATATATAAGTTGTGTGTCATAGGAGAAAGTGACAGGTAGGTGTTAGGACAGCGCCATGGACAACCAGTGAAAGCGCTGGACTTAACGGTGTTAGTATCACAGATTACACATATTGGGTTCGAATTCCATGCTCCCATTTCACCCAGGATATAATAAATTGGGGAGGCAATGCCAAACCATAAAGATCCCAGTTCTTGCAGGAAATAGTAGCCCCTCCAATATCGTCGGATATTGACGGGCTTTTTCTTTAAAGTATAAGTGGTGGTGTATATGAAACAGTAACCAATCAAAAACAAAATTTTTTGTATTATTGAAGAGCAGGAGAGGATCACTGTATTAGAGTATTTGATTTTATTTGGACCTGGACGCAAAAAAATATCACTACTAGGATTCCATTCTTATCCTGGTACTGTATACTTTACATAATGAGAAAAGGGTAAAAATATTTTTTTTTATTGAAAAGTCCTTTTGAATTTTAGCAACTACTACTTTCTAAACCCCATATCATGTTTAGACCAGACAAATTCATTTTTTTTCTTATTACAACCAGACAAGATGGGATTCGAACCCATGTTTCTATATTATCAATTTACCTCTTCCTGTTCTCTTCTTTCTCTTTCTTCTTTTTCTCTCTTCTCTCTTTCTATTCTTTCTCTCTTTTCTCTCTCCATTTGCTCTTTGAGTGCAATAAGTTGACGATGCTTCTCCAAAATTACCTGAATGAAAGTGAATGAATTAGCCTGGATAATTGTCTTCACTATTACCTTGTTTTACAACATCTAATTGAATTTAATCAGAATGAACAAAAAAGCCACATTTTACTTTTTGTTCGAAGGACTTGGGATCTTGCTTTGAGCATGAAAGTGAATGAATTAGCTTGGATAATTAACTTCACTTTTGTATTTATTTACAACATCTGATAGAACTTAATCAGAATGTATGGGAAAGCCTTTTTCCACTTTTATTTAAAGATCTTTCTTTGAGAAAATTTGTATAAAAAATTTCGTTTGTCACAGGAGTTGTGTTTCAATACGGCAGTTGTAATTTTGTCCCTAAATTTGAAGGGGACTCACAGGTTGACAAAGAATTCTTAACAGCCAAAGTTTTCAATTTCAAAATTTGGTTTTGTCAGAGTCTGAAGCTGGAATCAAAATTATCTTCAATCTGGATTCGGTAGTCAGCATAAAGAATTTTTTTGAACCTATGGCCAGAAGTTTAATACTTTAACCCTTTCCATGCGATTTTTATTTTTTATCAAATAATCGTATTTGCTACGCCGATTTTATGCATTTGTACCCCCACAACTAATCGATCGACTAACGAAAAACTAATGATCCTCTGCTGCCCACTGACGGCTCGTTGGAAAGCTTATTCAAAGAGCTTGCAATTGTCGATTAAAAATATTTTTTTTTCCAAAAGGGGTGGTCTGAGTCACAAACCGGATAGAAAAAAGGCATTTTTCTTTCTTGGGTGTTGAAACTTCAAACCATGATAAAAAATAGAAATATTTGCTAAATCCTTTACTGTTACCGCTTCTTGGTTGGCAAACAATAGCATAATATTGCTGTAGCAATTTCGTTATCTAACTCAAAATACTTTGGTAGATGGAAGGGATAATATGTCTTCTATTACCACCCAAAAAACACCGAAATTTGCATATATTTCAAAAACACTCCCTCGTTCCGCCGCAGATAAAATTTCCATGGTAAACGAAAGCGAGATTTACCGTCCCTTATGTTAATCTCGAAGAAGACTTCTTATCAATAAACTAAAACCCGGAAAAACTAGACCAACAGTTTGCGACCGATTGCTAAATAAAACAGTGGAGTACATCAACGTACCCGCCGCAATCTAGCAAGTTTTGTCGTGGGTACGTATACGTGCCCACCGCAAGGAAAGGGTTAAAGAACACAAAATGGAAATTTTTTGACTTCATAATTCTGACCCCTTACAGGAGAATTGAGATACAAACCTTGTATATTCTTCTTTGTAAGAGCCCTCTTGTATATTTCTGAAGTACGATTGTAGCAGCGAGACGAATTCTTTCTCTTTCTCGTTTTTCAGCCAGTAGTTGGCGAAAGAGAGTCCTAGCCTTTCTTCCCCTCTCTATACGTTGAAGCATGACAACTGCTCGCATGGTCCGCCTGAACTTTTGTCTTGCAATGAAACCCTGAAAAGATAATTTGTGCTTCAGGTTGCAAGAAAAACTGTTAGTTTCACATCATCATTGACAAGGATGCAATGTTGATTTGGAATCATCGACTTTGACAATTTATTAGGTTTCGACTTGTCAAAAATAACACTGATAGAACAACTCAATCATATGTCATGGACCACGATCTTTTACAAACAAAACCTTTGTAGAGTCTCTAGGGGAGTCTCCAAAAAGTATGGCACTCCAACAAATGTATAAATTTGAGTTAACATTCTTACCATCACTTTAAACACACTAAAAATTAGCCCCAAATTAAGTTAGGACCAAGAAGGAATAACTGAAAAGTATTGGCCCCAAAAAAACAATAAATTGAAGTCAACTGTTCAACCTCATCTGGCTACTGGTTTGGTAATACCGTACTAACCGTTGTGCTGCATAGAGTCAGAAGTAAAGATGGACAATGTAGAATAATTTACGATTCTAGAATACTTCAATCGAATCAAGAATATTGAATCCATCCTATTTTATAGGTACCGACTCTGGAGCAACGTAATTATCTAGAAAATTGCCCATATCTTCTCGGTACTTAATAAAAATACACTGAAAAATAAGCAACATCAAGAACAATATGTACTGTCCATACCTTTACATGCCTTTGTACATGAATGATTAGTTTCTTCATTTTCAAGAATCGTTTTCGACAAGCAACAGCTCGTAAAGTTGCTTGCACAATGACGGCAGCTTTATTGACTTTTTCAAGGCGAACTTTTTCAAGTTTTTGTTCGAGAATTTCTTTCATGAAAACCTTAAAATATGTGAAGTTGTTTAGTATTAATTACTACAAATTTTCTATACAGTGCTTTTTCATGCATTTCACTCCAAACAAACATTTGTACAAGTAACCTGCGAACCCACACAGGATAAGAGGTGCAATGGCAAGCGTGTTCCTAATTGTAAGCACAATGCGCTAACCTCAAGCTCAAGTATGTTCAAAGCATTTAAATTTAATTTAATTCCACACATCTTTTTCAAGAACCTTCAAAATATGATAAGAATCGAATAAATGAAGTCCCTTTCAATATTTCAAAACTTCCCTATCTGGACATGTGACCATTCAAAAGGCAGTGCTTTGTCATATGATTATATCATCTTATCAACTTTCTTATATCTAATATTCGATTGAATCTTTGGTATTTGTTTGAATTACAAATTAGTTATTACCTTTGTCTTTCCGAGTTTCCACAGTTTCATTGTGTCGTCAATGACAACCAGAACCTCCCTGGCAGTATCTTGGGGATTATTTGGAAGAACTTTGAAGTTTTTAACCATCCAGTATCTGAGAAAGACAAAAAATAATAACAAGAATACATTAATGTTTATTGCTTTATTGTTATGATATAAACATGAATTATTCGACTCATCTTCTAATACAATTGTTCTCAAACTTTTTAGGACCTTTTATAATTTGTCAAGTGTTGCGCACCACCTCAAAAATACTTAGCTAACAATAAGCTACAAAACACAGATAGTAAAGCGAAAGTATGTTTCAAAACAAGTTAAAAATACATAGATGGAACGTAAATAATGAAATAAAATAAAAGTTTCAAACACAAATAAGGCGTATAAAATACAATTAAACAAATATTTTAATTTTAATTAGCTTTACGCCCCCTGTGCAAATTATTAACAAAACGTGTACCTGAGGAACAATAATTATTTAAATGTGTACATAATAAAGATAAAAATAGAAACAATATTGTGTCAGTTACTGTACATTTGGACGAATTTCTGTGTGATTCATTTTTTGTGTGCAAAAATTTCGCATCTTATGGCGGTTTCACTCTTGCATTAGTCAAGAAAATTGCATTCCCAGTCTTACCAGTAATCTACAGTGAGAGATTGCACACCCACGCTACTTCGTTTTGGCCTTTGTATCCATCTCACTCAACATCTCGCTTGAGTGTTCGATAACCAAATTTTAATTTTTCACTAGAATTTTTTAGCCGAATACCGAATTATTTGAGTATAGAGTCGTTTGAATACCGAGTTATCACTGTATAACTAACTCTATTAAATATTGAAATGGGAAAAAAGTTGATACCGAATAGAAAGTGAAGTTTCAAACTAGGCAAAAATGTTGGGCACATAAAGACCAATTTTTGAATTGTTTGTTTATCCCACACAAATTTTGAATGGAGTCTATCAGGAATTGACTGCTTACCGATCTGCAAAATCCTGGAAAATTCTTCTGACAGGGAATCCTGCCCTTCGAACTCTCACAGTTTCCAACATTCCTGAGTATTTTAGTTGATTCAACACAACACCTGCTGCGAAGTTGTCTGGGTCCTGCAGTAAGAAACATGGTTTAGTTTATGTTAAAAAAAGTTAAATAAATAAAAAGAGAAAGGGGGGAGGGAAAGCTGATAAAACGATCCAATCATCTTGTAAACCATGGCACTCGGAGATCTTCCAAAAAGTATCGTATTCTACCTACAATTGACACTTTGTACGGAACCATATTTCGAACAGAATTTTTGAAAAAACCTAAAAGGGCCACAGAGCGTAAGAGAGCAATGAGCACCAGGTACCATCCATAGAGACTACATTAAATAATATTTGCTGTTATTTTATTTTTTTTCGACTGTAACAAATCTATTGTTTTCGTTTGCTGGGTTTTTAATGGATGAAAACCCATTAAGAATAAAATTAGTTTATTATAAAAGGGCAGGGGGTCGCAAGAGACTTTGGAATGGGCCACATATTATGAGGGTTTAAAAACCACTGGCTTATGAAAACACCGATTGTTAATACTTTATATTATTCACCCACCTTCTCCATGTTTGGTTTAATACATCGGACAAAGAATGGATTCGCAGATGAAAGTCTTTCCATCAAGGAGTGAAGAGATTGCTGAAATAAAAGGGATTTGAGTTGTTTAGAGAAAATGTCTCTGAAGTAATGAAGTAAGGTCACACGCACTGACTTTAGAAGTAATGAGACAGATGGTTTTTGTTCTTGACAAATGATTTTAAGGCTTTGATGCCTTCTTGTATAAATGTTCGTATCACTATTCTGATTTCAGATAGTTTGACTTTGTTTAGAAAAACTCACTCAGTTATAATAAAGGCGCTCGCAAGTACGTAAACATACCCATCACATAGAAGGGATTGATCACTGGACTTAATTTGACAATTAGGACAGATTGCAAGCGCATAATATGCAACAATAATTTCATTCTCACCTTAAATTGTCCACTCATAGTTGTTGCTTTTTTGTTTCTCCCTTTCCCAGCTGCTTCATTGTTTCCTCTAACTTTCTCAAACAAGTCATAAATGAGATCGTTGCTGATAAAAGTAAAGAAAAAATTAGATCTAAATCTTAGATTTGAAAGTAACTTTCAAGATTGATGCTGGTTTTCCAAGGTTTTTGGTGGTTGACAAGTTGACAAAAATACAATAGGAAATAATTCAAATTTTACAGTCAAAAATTAATAGACAAGTTACTAAATTTTTTCTATCATGAAGTCGATATCACCTTGCTTGAATGCCATTTCCTGTAATAAATTACCAGGGACATAGCCATGGGGGGTTTAATGATCATAACTCAGAGGGTCTCAAACTTTCCATTCGTACCTAGAATCTTTCAGTAAGGTCAGGAGATCATCTCTGAATGTGTCTCTGTTCTTCTCAAGGAATCCAGTGATTGTGTAATATACCTGAATACATAGTGAACATAAGATTTAACTGAGCGCTACCCAGTAGCATAATTCTACCAAGACAAAGAATAAGTTTTACATAGTTATCCTGGGGAGAGATTAACCGAACTGTAAAACAAAACCCATAACTGAGTACTGTGTCCCGACACTGCTTTCTGAGCAATTAGCAGATGCCAATTGCAGCTCAGATACAGGAATAACAAGGCAACGAGAATATCGGTCGGAGACCGAAGACTTATCGATCGAAACTGCAGTTTCGATTCATGACTCTATAGCGACACCGCGTGTCACATCACTAATTAATTATTAACTCGCTAATTATACGACATAATTCATTCAAAATCAATAGGCTTCTGGTCAGAGAGATGATAAATCCAAATGCAAAATTTGGAGCAGATTCAACCTCGCCTCCGTTAGATATCGCGTTCATCTAACAGACAAACAAACAGACAGACAAATACCTATCAACATACTTACCGATCTTAAGATCGATAAGTAATTAATGACCAAGGCAAGTGGCACATCTCCCAGAGTATTTGAACCTTCAATGGGGGCTCTTCAAAACTACAGATTACTGATTAATTACTAATTATTCGAATAATATACTGCTAATACTACAGTACAATATATTACTGATACAGCAATACTGATTTAAATGAAAACTGGTCAATAAGATAATAATATTAGATTTCCCACCTCTCCTGCATAATGTTTGATTCCATACTGCTGACCTGATACTTTCGGTTTCAGGTAGTAAGAATTGTTCTGGAATAAAGAAAAGCATTGTTTAGATCAGGTTTCTCAAACTGGGCCCGCAGTCACCTCAGTGAGTAACAGCGATTCCGCAGGAGCTATGGTTGCCACAAGCAAATGCATTCATTAGGCATCATTTGTAATGACTGCATTAATATAAAATAAATTGACTGCAATCTATTTATTTTTTGACTTCTTCCATTGATTTTTTTAATATTACAAATGGCAAATGCGATAAATTCTGGAATGGAGTGAATGAAAGCAAAAAGAGTTCGGGTGGATGGGGCCTAGTAGATAGAAAGTTGATGTCACAAGGGAATACGACAAGAGAAAAGTCGATAACACAGTCACGCAAAGCAATCAGAAGTGCGGTGGTGAGCGTATTCCTAACGCTTGCGCCACACCGTTGAGCGCGAATATAGTAAACTATGATTTTCATTTTGTAAATAGCTCTTTACCTTATTGTTAGGAGAAATTGGATAGGAATTAATCTTAAATGCATGAAACATATCATAGAAATTCCAATTTACAACCCGCTTAAATTCAGTGTTCCCTCTCACCTGATGTTGTCCATGCATTTTATTCAGCAATGAATTATCAGTTCCTTTGGGAAATCTGCTTTCCTCATTTATCAGTGATAAGACTCCCATGTTCTTTTCAATCAGATCAAGACATTCGCTGTTATCAGTCCATTCTATATCACACCACTCCACCTCCTCTCTGTGATAAGAAAATGGGATTTAAATTTATTTTCGCCAAAGGAGGTGGTTATTTGTATATGTTCATTTTGGTAACCATGAACTAGGGTTGTGTAGTTGGGGAAATTTACAATCAACTCTACCATGACTACGGCCTCCTTTTGTAGAAAGTTCAACTCTGATACTGCAAAAATCAAATTTTAAAAGGAAAACTGGGGTTTTAGACTTTTAAGAGTACTTAGCGAACTCAATTTGTTCATATATTTGAAACAATTGACTGGTTGACTATTCCCTTATCTAACACGGCGAGGCAGCTAACTGGGTTATATAAATATACGGGTTGTCCATAAAGTCACTTTACAATTAAAATTTTGTTATGAAGTCAGTTCTCAATATATCTTAACAGGTTTGTTGTTTTTTATTCAGTAATTGTTTAAAATTTTAACTTCATTTAATACATCTGTGAGGGTCAAAACAATATATGGTATCGATAATTTACCTATACAATTTTTAAAAAAAATTCAAGACTTTATGGACATCTCATATAAATACCACAACTGGTAACTATGTACCGGTAATCAGTGGCACGATGGAAATATTCCCATCCAAACTTTTCAATTCAAGATTTATTAAAAAGGAACATTACCTTCTGTATTCTAATTGCTCCAGACTGAAAATATGTCGATTGAAAAATTCCTGAAGTTTTTCGTTTGCAAAATTTATGCAAAATTGTTCAAATCTGTTTGTCTGTAATAAAAGCAGTCAAGTCAAATATGACATACCATATGAAAAAAGGAGCGTGACTATGTCGGCATTGAAAGTTACACATTTCGAGCTTGAATCCCATGCCCAGCACCTCATCCAGGGTATAATATATCGACTAGACCAGTGATTCCCAAGCAGTGGGGTGCCTCATAGGGGGGGGGGGCGTCAACAATTTTTTGAGGGGGCGTGAAGTCAATTGAAAATAAAAAATATTTGTTAGATTTGATCTTGCCCGCCTTATTTTGGATATTTACATTTCTTTATTTTTGAATATTTACGGTCCATCTACATATTTTCTTTCAATGAGTTCTTTAGATAAAACATAACTTCTGTTATATGTAGCTTATTGTTAACTAGTTATTTTTGAGATGGGGCGCAAGAGTTGACAAATTCTAAAAAAGGGCTGCAGTTTATAAAAGTTTGGGAACCACTGGAGTAGGTAGTATAGGGATTTTTACTTAGCAGTGACTAACTGTACAGTATGTACTTTGTTCATATGAAATGCCATAATAAACACTTTATTCGAGGGTCCGGAACCCTAATTAAAAAACTTTTATTTATTTATTTTTCATTGCTCAACTCTAAATTTTTAAATCTAAAAATCAATACATCTCAATAGTCGTTGGTGACTTTTCTAACAGTGCTTTTTCTCCCATTAGAGCTTCGCTCTAAATTTTACAATACACTCTTCAAAATTCAATTTTTTAAATTTTCGAGCAAAGAAGTTCCAAGTGTTTTATCATGAAAAAGACAAGTCCCCTAACTCTTGCTTAAATGTCTAAAATATTGTTTTCTCTCACATATTACACCTAATTCCATTGTGGATGGCATAGAATAGAAATCTTAATATTAATAAAACAATTTATCCTAATAATATGACCAAGCATACAACAAACTCTAAATTTTTAAATCTAAAAAAATAATACACTTTTCTAACAGTACTTTCCCCCATTACAGATTGGATTTAAATTTTGCAGAATTCACCTCAAAATTCTCGAATCCGAAAATATCCAGAATCCCGATGAAATGAAAATCATCTGGTCCTTTTATTTTGTGGTTGATCTTTGAAATCATCCAACGAAACAGTTGGGAATACAAAGCCATGGAAATGGAATCCCGTGAGTCGCAGGCCTGGAGAGATATAGTAGAAAATAATGTTAATTGAAGCAAATATACTGACATGTGATTTGGTTTAAAATTGAAGTTTCATATTGATGTGCATATCAGATATGGAGTAGGTAACCAGTATTCATTCACTGCAAGTATTTGTTTGCAGAGCAAGCCATGAACGACAAGTGGGTATTGGTAACCTTTCCCCGTATTTGAGGCTAGGTAATTAGATCAGATCACCTCATTGCTCTCCCCGGGATAAATGAAATTCCTATTATAGCATTTCTAAATACTTAATTTTGTTAATAAAGATACCGTAACTCCATCAATTTTGTTAAATAAATTTCTTCTCATTAGAATGCAACTTCAATATGGAGAGAAGTATTTAAACATTTGATAAAAACTAGCAAACTGAGATTTGACTTGCAAAGTCCGAATCTACTACGCAAGGAAACATACCTGGTCAACACTCTGCGGCGATGTGATGTTTTCTCCTCTCAGTTTCATTGTTCTTTCTTTTAAAACCGATTCCAAACGCTCACTTTCGAGCCCGAGTAACTGGGATGCCTTATCGACAGCTGTATGGGGAATGAAGAAAAACAAATGAAAGTAAGAATTTTGTTGGCAAGTTAAAGATCTTGGTCTCAAACAAATTGCTAAATATGGGCTCTCACTCTCGTACAGTTAAATCTGAGTGATTGAGATAGTAAACCGTTAAGTTTATCAATAATATAAATAAATAGAGGATGTTCACCTATCAATTTTCGTTCAAGCAATTATGGGATGGGCTTGAACTCAATGCTAAAACAAATAGCACTCAGCCAGTCATTGTTATGTCTTGAGCTATTATATTTGTGAAAAACGATTTACATTTGCCATTGACTACTTAATCAATTAGAGCATGGGTAAGGCAGTGCGCGCATGGGAAATCTTAGATTTTTAACCTGGGATGCCAACATAGTTATATCCATTGCTTCAACCACCAGGCCATAGCAGCCCTCAAACCTTAACCTGACATTTCCCACAAACAGGTCTGTGGTGTTGGCAGTATTTCACCCGGTTGGCTTCAACTCTTCACTTTTGAGTACGTTCACTTAATGCACTACCATTAAATATGTATAGTTTTAATACCTAATGACATTACAGTATTATGGTGGTCGCTCACTGAATCTCGCCTTTTCTCAGAGACAAGTCTCCTTAACTGCGAGTGAGTGCATAAGACCTTAATTTCAGCAAATTCTATAAAAAATTATAAAAACAAAACGTATACCCACCATCTAGATCAGTGACTTGAGCTCCTCCAGCATTCATGAATTTAACATTTCCCAGGTTAAGAATTCCAGCCAACACATTCTGCATGTCTATGCATTGCCCTTGCTTAAAACCAATCACTTTGAGAGCATTCTGTGAAAAATACAAACAAAGTTAATTCATATCAAATAAAAATGCTTCACAGTGTCCCTGAAGTTAAATGAAAATTGTTCCAAGTCTCATAGTAACCACTCTCTACTAATATATTAATGATTCAAATTGAAGACAATAAGGTATGTTCCTAATCACGCACATTGTGCCAATTGTTAAGCCATTCATGAGTTTTATATAAATTACAAGTCTCTTCCTCAGGGGAGATAATCCTAGGTAACTAGCAACAATAATTCAGCACAAACCAAGGTTGTACATTCTTTATTAGAAATAGAAAGGTACTGATAAGTAAGCAGATGACAGATTAAAAAGAAATTGGAATCATCGTCAGAGGAGCAATGGCAAGCATACTTACCACAAGTGATTCCCAATCACCGGCATCGTTCAATGTAGGATCAGAGATGCAGCCGGTTGTGTTCAAGTAGTAAAAGTCTTTGGGGTTCGTCAGGAATAGAGAATCTGAGAATTGAAGAGTCATTGTTAGATTATGTTTTTATGTAGGTATGTTGGAAAGGGTAGTCGATATAGATGGCTCAATCTTTAGGCCAAAATCCATTCATTAGTTAACTATTGAAAACAGAGAAAGTCAATCTCTCACCTTTTGTTTCTTGCTCTAGCCCAGATAAAAGTTGATAGAAAATATGATAATTCCTTTCACCAGGATTCTGTCGAACAACACGATGCTAGAAAGATAATAAAATGAATTGTTAGTTTCTTTTGAGCTTGAACAAGGCTACATGCAAGCATGGTATGCTGCCTAAAATTTTTGACAGTTACTTCACTAATTGCAGTAAAGTCCATGAATACAACACTCGCCTTGCTGATAGAGGAGCATATTTTATCAATCGAACCAGTTCCAGTTCGGCCCGCAACTCCATTAAAATTACTGGTCCGAATATTTGGAATAGTATTCCTGATGAGATCAGAGAATCTTCTTATAGATGTTTTAAACTTAGGTATATGAGGTATCTTATTGATAAATATTGAGTCTGGGAAAAAATGTTTTTGCATTTGTCGGAATCTTCACCCGTTATAGGTTTAAATTTCAATGCCTTAAGTTTCAAAAAGAACTATTCCATTTTAGATGTCATTAACTATGACAGTCTTGAAGTATTTTTGGTATGCATCTTCGTCTTTACAAATATAAACTGATTAATAGCTCTTTTCTTCTCAGGGCCATCTTACGCGTCCTCTTGATCTAATACGTCATCCATATAGCCCATTAATTGTAGATCTTGCCCTTTACATTTGTGCTCTGGGTCATGGTTTGTAACATCAATAAATTATATGCCAACTGTTATATATTCTATATTTGCACCCTTATTTTATGGTAATTACAGACTTCAGTGAATCCTATTTAATGCTCCCTAATAAGTCTGTGTTAAAATTCCTTTGTACATGTAGCATTTGTAACTTTGTATAGTTCATTTTGCCAATTATACTGTGTTTTGTGACAATGAAATCACTCGAATTTCATCTTTGCATGTAAATTTATTGCAAGTTAACAAGTGCTATTATTACTTAATTCAATATCCACCCAAATGATACCATCTAATGGTATATTTTGACATTCCAATTAAAATTGGAAATTTTTTCATGCATTAATTTTCATCAAATGTCTGGTTGCATCTGATATATTTGAAGATACTGAATTTGTTAATAAAACTAAATGACTGATTGGGATAATCATATTACTTTCAATTTGCCTTCCAGTAAACTCTTGAGTATTTGCTTATTTACAATTATGTTATATTACAGTATTATGGATAAGTTCCTCAACCCAATCATTTATAATATCTCCTTACTTCACATTTTACACATTTTTGCTGCACCAATTACTGTACAAATATTGCTATGTGTCTGGCACACTCATGCCCTTCATGTCTTATAATGGTTCAGCTTTTGTCTCTAGCAAGTTACAGTGGAGATAAAAGTTATTTGTCATTTCTTTGTTAATGATTATCAATATTGCCCATAAATTCTTCTGAAATATTAGTGGCGATGTTTTTGTCTGTAATAGCCACATCTATCATACATAACACATGTACTGATGATCATCTTTTGCTTTATACTGTATATTAGTTGCCCCAGATGCAAATATTTGAAAATGTCAAATATCTACCTTTTCTCAATTACCGTAGTCAAAAACTTTGATATCACTGTGTGCAAAAATGTATCAAGCATACAACCTCCCTGATTACACAATTGGTATTTATTAAAACTCCAGGAATAAAAATTCAAGTACTCTGCAGTGTTTCGCCATATGGTTAAGCCATCTTATCGGCTTTCCCCTCCCCCAGGATAAATATGTAAATCCTATCCTGTTTTTGATATTCTGGTGGAATCTTCAAACATTTGACAATGCTAATAAGGCTAAGAATTAAAGTCCAAAATGCCCCTTACACTGATCCCCTGTGTCCTTTTCTATTGATTAAATATAAATTTTGTGAAAAGTATTTTTTTATTTTAATTTCAATGATAAAGAAGTTAGTTATATTACTAAGTTTCAATAACTTCTTAGCTTGGTTGCAAATTTTCGCCATGTTGTTTGAAGCGCTTGATCCGCTGTATATACATTTTTTTCTTTATACATATATTTAAAATGTTTACATAAAGAATTATTTATTATAGTTTAAAGCCGACTGATACTATTAGTGCAACTAAGTTTCCAAATATATATCGTGTTGACTTCATTTTTCACCTTATTATTCTTACCCGTTCAGGTTATATCGTGTTTATTTTGAGTCCCAATTCATTATTAGGTATAATCTGTTTACATTTATATTATTTTTTGTTCCTAAAGTTTGTAAAAATATTACTGGTCTAACTTTTTCATTTAGTCATCTCAAAATTTGAATCTTATTCATACAAGCGAAATAGGTGGGAGTTGACCTCGATGACCGCATGGTCGTATCGCTCCCTCCTGTCCATACCAAAACAATTTTATTGTTGCTACTTTTTTACTGTATTGATGACTGCAATTTTTTTGGTTGACACATTAATAAATCTCTCTCTCTCTCTCTCTATTAATTAATCAAGAAGCGACTATACCCAGAAGTATTGAAAGCTTCTGAAAACACTCTGGGGTATACTCTCCATGAATAAGACTCTAGGTAAGCGCCAACATCTATATCATTACTATTTTATTATAGTTTTTTTTGAGGGGGGGAGGGGGGTGCTTGGCGACTTTCTCTGAATAAGACCCTAGACAAGTGACCACTTGGGTTTGTGGGGGTTAATATGGGTTTGCTCCCAACATATATCAAGCTTAAAACATAGAAAGGCGTACAAAGCGTATCACACATCATGAGATTCTAGTTTAAGTGTTGAGTGAGTCAATCATGAGCTAAGTCTCAATAGAGGATAGCTGAGTCGAGTCTTTGATAAATAGTGATTTGATTTCCCAACCTAGGCAGTGCCATCTCAGTGTTCAAGCAAAGTAAGAAACTCACCTTTTCAAGAAGATCTTTATATTCCAGTAGAAATTGGAGTTAATTAAGGAAAACGATTGATTCAAATTTAATTATATAATTAGTATTGTAAATATATTATAATTACAAAAATGAGATAATAACAGGCACCAGCAATAGTTAGGCTTGGAATGTATGTGATAACATATCTCAGATTAAATAGTGCATGGTTGCCTCCACGTATGTACCGCGTCTCAGAATTCCTCTTTGATGATGTTGAAGGTATCGTCAACATATCTTTCCCGAATTCTTCGGCTGTTAGGGAAGGATGTCAATGCCCTTTCTTCTACGTCTTCCATAACCATATTGGCAACAACGACCAAAACAGGGGAGCTCATGGCAGTTCCAAAAATTTGTTGATAATGTTCCCCCCTAAAACTAAAGGGGGTGGGCAATTACTTTCCTGAGTGGGCCAGTTACAGATAATAGACTTACTGGTTACTGGGCATGAGACCCTAAACTCAATATGGAAAACTATGAATAAAAAAGTTTAATCACAACAGCTAGTCACACGGCTATGCTAACGTTTATATATTAATATTAAGAAGCACAATGTAACAATCGGGGTTGTTATGACCTTATTTTCAACGGCGATTTATATCCATAAAAACTATAGTCATATATTCAGCAAACACAAGTGAACCAGATTAAACACTTCAATGGACCGGATCTGGGACGTGGGCCGTAATTAGCCCACCACTGGATAGGATAGGATTTACATATTTATCCCGGGGGAGAGGAAAGACGATAAGACGGCTTATCCATATGGCGAACCACTGGTATAGGATATGTCCGCCCTGGTCAATATACCAGATGAGAGGCTAATAGATAATAGGTTCATTGCTCCAAGAGCAAGAACATGATGACCTGACTTTAGAAACAATTACATGAACCGAGGGTTACAATCCAAGGTATTTAACTTGAGATGCCAGCACAGCTAAGTACAATGTTCCAACCAACTAAACTATAATATATGTTTAATACAAAGGATACAGTCAGTGATTCTTCCGCCCTGGATTCCTCCATTTTGAGCGAATAAAAGTTGAATAAACTTTCCAAAACGACTCGAATTATTGTTGTAGACAGTTTTTGCATTTCCAAATGCTTCCAATAATGGTCCGCTCTCTAAAATTGACTTCTCGATCGATGTGTTTCGACCATTGTCTTGTGATCTGAAGAATGGAAATATCGTTAGATTTAGGTGATGTTTAATTCCTCTGAACATGGCTTTAGTCCAGCTGCACTTCAAAGGCTATTAGAACAAGCATTTTCTTACTACAGCACGATTCCACAGCATTCTTAACTTTTCTCAAAACACTCACTCAGTATTAAAATAGACTCATCCCTCAGTGAAGTTATGAGCTACCTACCACTGAAGAGAGAGCCATGTGCACTCGCTCAGAAATGAAGAGAACTCATCTCTCTCTGACTCTCATGCAAAAGCTACTTAAAACTCGTAGAATTATGCCGATGCATTATGCACGCACATTCAAAAGTAATGGGGGATTTTCTCTAAAAAATTACGAATGAAATGCCTAGCGCTAAAGAAAAGAATTTGCTCAAAGCAAGGCCATGCACACTGACACAGTCTCACTCATAGAAAAGAGACTCGTTGCTGAGCAAGATCATGCACACTCACCCAAAAGTCAAAAAGGAATCACTTTAGAGCGAGGTTATGAGCAACCTGTATTTTTTAAGTTTGGGATTATTTTATTTCCTACTTCACATCACCAACCAACCAACTTACTCTGTTTTATGGGCTTTTATTCGACTTGCATCCGACAGAAATCTCAGCATCAGCTTTGTCGCTTCAGTCTTCCCGGCACCACTTTCCCCACTGGAAATATAAACGATGTTTAAAGAAGTGTTATAAAAAAGAAGCTGACCAAGAATTACTTAAGAATTAATTAATTAATTAATACATGAACCACTCTGCAATGGCCAGGAGTCCTACAATTCTCTCGCACATAATTATTCATTCCTGCATTATTTTAACGTATGAACCCACACTGGGTGATCAAAGGCTTAGCATTATAAGCCAACACCCAAAAGTTGAAATCCACCTACCTGATTAGCACGCATTGGTTTTCCTCTCTTTTCCACATGCAGGAGTAAGTTTCATTAGCAATAGCATAGACATGGGGAGGGTGTTCCCCAAGGTCCTTGTCTCGGTACAACGCTAATTTATCTGAATCGTAGAGGCCTTCGATCTTCTTGTAGGGATTCACTGAGATGAGGATGGAACCGATGTATGTCTAGGAATGTTAAAACGAGGCTTTTAGTGGAATTGTTTTGTTTATCTAGGCTAGAAGATGGTTTAAAAGGCGGATTAACATATGACGAACCGCAGTTTTGGGGTATGGGGTTCGGTAACCTGGTAAATGTGAACAAGGCGACTTAATTATATGGTGAATCACGATATCTCGACCAGCGGGTGTATCAAATGTTTCCCACGCATGGAGTGGGACGGCGGAGGAGACGACTTATTCATGTGGCGAACCATATTCTCTCATCTGTGAGGTTATATATACAGAATGGAAATAGCGAACCAGTTGAATGTCCCATCGACTCCCATTCCCATATGAATGGGTTTGAGGGGTAGGTGGCTCAAACAATATGGCGAACCAATCCTCTTGACATGTTACTAGTCCAGAATTAGGTCACTGGTGAAACGTTCAAGGTGAACGGACTTGTATGGTGAACTTGCCGAAGGTGGGAAACAGCAAACGCCAAACAATCCGCTCTCACTTGATCCATCTCCATCTCATTCAAAACTGTAAACTCGTGAGGGTATTCTCAGTACAATGGCTAATGTATTCTTAACACTTAGAACGAAGCGCCAAGCTCGGAGCAAATGTCGGCTGTCAGGTTTTTGAGGCCGTTCTTATCGCGAAAAAGAAACATATACTCACATATATAGTATTCTTCTGATATCTGACGTTCAAGTTGCACAAGATGGAGGCCTGGTTTAGTTCAGACAATTTAGCCATGTCGTCCAGCCCCTCGGCTGATAAACCATTCATTGGTCGAACCATCGTTGAGTCAACTTCTGAGCACCACATTCGATGAGTCTGCAGAAAAAATTGAATAATAATCAGTGAAGCAAGGGTAGGAGTTTACTGAAGTTTTTCTTCTGGTCCTGAGAAAGATACCAACCATAGTAAACCTGCATGTCCGAGTCATATATAAAAGGGTTTGGACACAAAAACTTTAGATTATGATTCCAGAACTGTTTCTGCCACTCATTTTCTTTGATTCCGTTGATTTTTAGCTTTAATATAAGTTAGGTTATTGCCCCGGCTTTTATAGATTATGTAAGTACCTTTTCCCTGTTTAAGTTCGCCTAACTTATCGTAGGGATAGGATAGGATATATATATTTATCCCGGGGAAAGGAAAGCCGATAATGCGGCTTAATCATATGGCAAACCACGGCTCCTCGTCCTATTACCAGCCCTTGTCGGGTACAGAATTATTTATCCAGTCATTTGTTTTCAGATGCATGAACTCGATGGCAGAAGAAGCAGTAACCGACCAGCGGTCAGGTGAACCATCCTACGGTGGCGAGGAGTTCAGCAATCAGATTGCACATAATTATGCCCGCATGGGACTCGAACCTCCGAATCCACGCAGGGCAATCATAGATGCCGTGGCAAGCGTATTCTTAACGCTTAGCGCGATGCGCCACACCGCCGAGCCTACAGCGAACGTACCAGAAATTAGGTGTGGGGCAATAGCAGAATACTACCGCCATTTGGATTCTTCAAAGTCTTGATTCGTGATCGCAAATCGGTTCTAGTAAACCGATACTCCGTGTAATGTGATCCTCACTACTTATCGTATCGTATTACAACGATGTGTTATGGCCGAATCAGCATTAACATATTTGCGGTCAAAACCATTTGCTGAAACTTTAAGCCGAAAATATTGCGCACTTTATGTGTTAAAAGTTCGTTCGAACTTCTTTCAAAATGTGCATTCACTTCTTTAAACAAGGTTTACCCAAGCTTCGTGCGTAAATATCCATGATTTTGGAAGGGCCGGTCAAACATATTTGCTGTAATATTAGGTAGAAAATATGTGATTGCTTGATTTAGACGAGCATAATTTGGTGAAGAACGCCAGCTCAGAGCGTTAAACTTCATTGCTATGTAGTTTCACACCTTGCTATGGCTATGTATAAGCAGTCACGGATATGTAAGAAGTTCAGAAGATATGTGATAGCTATTACTAGCCACACGTGCATGATATAGGCGCGCTTGGGGCGTGCTACCTCCATGTATTAATAAGGCGGTGGCGAAATTGTGGATCGCCCAGCATTTTCTAGCGGGCCGCCAATAAATTTGAATATGGCAGTGATATACAAAAAAGTGCTATAAATCCAAAATCATACATTACGTTTATATTAACTAAACAAATTAAGGTCTCGTAACCTGTTTATTACGTGGTTGAATTTAAAATTTCCAACGAAATTATTAGGCCTTGGTTGGAAAGTTTTCCATCTTACTATTTGGGCCTTTCTTAAAAGAGTTTGCCGAGCACTGTATTAAGTATTGGACTGAAAATGCATCCGAATCATTTTTTTTATTATGATCGAAGAGCAGGGGTACAAGTTTTGAGAGTCTTTGAATCGAGGTCGTAGATCGTGAAGTTTAAGAACCACTACAGACTATACAATAGGCCATCTCGAAAAGTTTTGTATCACTTGTACGAGAAGCCGAATGCTTTTATAATTTAGTTCATATATCATACAAATCGCCGATACACATACTGCCATTAACGCGGCGCCACTGTCAATTATTATCACACAATACCGTGAAATCGATGCCTAAAATGTTTATTACAAAACAATACTTAGATGGATTAGCATATTTGTGGTTTGTTTCGTCATATTGAATATCACCATTTTTCGTATTAATTCTGAGGAGAGATACGCCGTTGAGTCGGTTTAATCATTTCGAAAACTTCTGGCTTCTAATTTACTTATTAACCAAGGTCGGAACTTACGATAGACGGTTTATTTATCTTTAGGTTTGTATATATTTATCATATTCATCCCGGGGATAGGTAAGACGTTAATCCTTGATAATATAAAAATATATAATATCTCTTTCCATTACCAACCGGGACCGAAATAACTAGCTTGGCTAACGTTTCCCAACCGCTTTCCTTCCCCAAAATTAAAAATTTATCTAAAATTATCACGAAGGAAATAGGAGCTCTACAAGCTGGCTCTTAATCATAGTTTGATAGATTTTGAGATTTAAAAAGATAAGTTCTCCACATTTTCTCTAAACAGTTTTTCCGGGTTTGGGTTAAAGCCATCGACATGTCATACTACTAAAACCAAATAAGAAGATTTCTTTTGTGCAATGCCCCCGCCACTAATGCAAAAAATATGACATTTGAGATAAGCAGGCCCGTCACGTTTTAAAATGAGAAATGAGTAATTTTCCAATCGGGTTAGGAATAATTTGAAAATTTTAATTTCCAGCGCAATCTGCATTCTAACCCTAACTGGATAATTACTAGTTTTCTTTATTATAAGCGGTCGCGGGGGTGTTTTTTTGCGGGAATTTCGTACAAAAGATTATGAATAAGCTCTGAGCACAATACGTACCTCTCCATAATCAGTCTTGATCAGAACTTCCACAGAATCATTTTGTTCGACCGTAGCAGGAATCCAATCATCGGGGGTTTCCCCGGTCACCAGCCATACTCGGGAACCCTGGAAAAGAAATATTTTCAGTAAATATAAGACAGGTTGTGCGACATTATAATTGGTGGGGCATATAACCAACTTTAGACATAACTATCTAGGCCAGGGGTGGGCAACTTTTCTATTCGGCGGGCCAGATGTGGGAAAATGGAGTCTTCGGCGGCCGGAATATTACAAAAAATATATCGGTATCCAATCTTTGTTAAATGCTCGACACTCTCTGTCAAAAGGGATTCGAGAGTCTTGCTGCACACTAACACAAATATATTTCTGTAACGTTCCGTCTGACCAAGGTCAGACTTCTTCAGACATACATAGTTCAACTTTACCTTTCTTGGGATATTCCATGGTTAATAAAACTTAATATAAAATCCAATTTCTAAAATCTATTATTTGTTCACTAACGCAATTGTTTATTTCACCAGCTCGCACTGACTGTGCGGTGAGAGTACAGAGCTATCGGCAACTTTCAAGAATGATGCGTCGAACCACATTACAGAGTGTGGTTGGATACAGTCAGCGGGCCGGTCAAAATCTCGTCGCGGGCCGTATGTTGCCCACTCATGATTTAGGCCCTTTAAAAATGCCTAATGCAAATTATTCGCGATCCAGTCTAGCGAAGTGTTTCATCCAACCACTTGTGTCTGCTGAAATCACGACTCTAATTTTCATGGATATAAATTTCCGCTAAAATATCGATGAAAATGGTTCCATTACATTTGAACCCACGACGATTGCACCGGCATACTATTGCACCTATGGAAATGTTTGTTGTTTTACGGATATTTAAACCCATACTAACCCTAACCCGTGGGTTTTAGCACCCGCATATAGATTGAACCCGCGGATATACACATGAGTTCAAATGAGTTTCGAGGGCCAAGTAACCAAGTCTATTATCCGTACCTGTCCCACTACACAAAGTAATTGCCCACCCTGTTGTAAGAGATTCGAAATATATTCCATGGCCAGTAATGGGAATTAAAATTGTGAGACCGGGTTCTCTTTTTTTCTCGGGTTTTCACTACGTAAGCTACATTAATATACCACTCTTTACATAACTCTGGAAACGATAAATATAACGCTGGTTGTATTCAACTGACTAAGCTATGATATTCAGTCAATCTGAGGCCAATAAATCAATCTGGGCATGTAACTGTGAGTCGGTGGTATCGTAGTCTTGGTGGCGTTGGATATGTAATTGAAAAGTAGATCGAAAGAGGGGGGGGGGGGCTATGCTTGGAACTGGTGGGCTGATAATCCAAATCGAATATCTTGAAAAAAATATGATAAATGGCGCGCGAAAGTTGAGCGCCTTTCTCATAATAATTTCACTAGACAACAATGAATGATAGCAACACTAGTTTTATTTATAAAATTGGCGCAAAAATCATTGAACTTATGAGTTCGTCTGCCTAAAAATAGCAGACATATTACTGTAGCGATTGGCAAGTCAGTAATATATTTTATTTAGGTTAGGGGTGTCGCACTAAACCTTAGGAACACGAACCTTGATAACCTTCGTGGGTTAGTTATCAAGTTGAAATCCAGTATGAGTAATTATGTGCGAGAGTCATACTAGACTCCTCGTCGGCATTTAGTGGACATCCATTTAGTGGATTGGTGACCGGGCGAGAGGGCGTGGTTCCCCATGTGACTAAGCTGTGTTCTTTCGAGACAAATATGCGCTACCGGAATAGGAAGAGATTATAATCGCTCGGTAACCAGGTCAATTTAAAAAGAAAAATTGTCTACAGTCACATAAACCCACGAACATACCTGTTTAATTATTTCCATATCCGTCATGTTGTAGGTATGACGTCAGTAGTTGATGACGTAATCACTTATAAGTCGATAGAATCATTTGTTATATCCAATATCACAGTTTATTAACATTAGACAATAATTATATAATATCTGTAAATGCAAAACAATACATCAATACAAGTTCCATTATGACAGTGACATTTTCCGAAATTCCCCCAACAACAAAATTCAAAAGCACCATAGCAAATCTATCGAAATTTACTAGAGTAGTTATTGCCTGGTAACTTATTCAAACGTTGATTGTCATAGCAATGAATGTATTTATTAAAGAGAGAGAGTGTCTTCGTGGAAAAAATTCTATTTTGTTTTTCTGTAGTTTTTCTCTTGCACGAATAAGTTAATATGTCACAAAATTTTTTTGCAATCAAAAGCCGGCCACGAAAGAAAAATGTTGAGAACCACCGTTCTAGACACTATGGCTTCGTTCATTATACCATCTCTCAACTACTTTGTATATGACCTTGGTTCGTGGACAATTTTGATAGCACCCTTATTTTCCAAACCCATCGGAAACCCGCTGAATTTGCCGAAATATCCGAACTCAATATACCGCGAAAGACCTTGTTTCACACCGACGATGGATGAACATAAGTCTATTTTATATTTACATAACTCTGAACTAAAATTGCGATCTCCATGGTACCTGGGTTTCTAATGCTGTCAGTCACGCTTGCATTGACAAAACACTAAAATTGCAATCCTATTTGTTCCTAAACAACTTTAGGAGAAAATCTATTCCATACTAATGAAGCATGATCTGCCAGAATAATCTCGCTCTAGGACAAAGGTTCTGAATTCTGCATATGCCTCTTCATTAATTCTATTAGCATTGGCGCGTCTCACAGAACACGGAATACTAATGAAGAATCATATTACATGTATAAAAGCACATGGATCGACGGTATTTTAACTTTTACCTCGAGTAAATACACAACTTACCTTTTACTTTACAATTCTCTCAAAGCCAATTCGCCGGCGCTAATATGAATTTATGAAGATTGAAAGACAATGATAGAAGAATTGCAAGTTGATAAGCTAAGACTCTCAAAGAAATGCTGACAATAAATACAGTATCTCGACTTAAATTATGATAAACTTGACTATTTTCTTCTCCTCGTTTACTGACAGATCCACGGCTCTAATCAGAAAGATATTTAGAAATAACAAGTCCGGCCATCTTAAATTTTCAGATTCCCGAAAAAGGAAAGTTGCGCTGACTTTAATTTTTGCTGAAACTTGGCGATATTCAATATAGTCACTAGAAAATTGGATTTCCGAAAATATACCAGTGACAAAAACCGACCAAACAAAAAGCTTAAAAAAAACTTAAAAATCCAGTTATCGATTCCGACAGCGCGTACAACTGCTCGCCATAAAATTATTGATAAATAGTACGTGTTTGAAAACGCAACTCGAGTTGGAAGAAACTAGTTTATGATGTCATATTAAAAACGACGTTTCTAAGTAACCATTATGATGTGACACCGGTACATTTTATCCGAACAATGGGAAATATTTAACAGCAGACGACTGCAGTCTTCTGCGAAATTTCAGATACAATTTATCTCATAATTTTAGTCATTTTCCCACTTTGGAGGGATTTGATTGTCTCCACGTTTTGGTTTGCTCAACAGCACGTTTTGTATTAACTGTAGTAAGTTTATTACTAATATTCTTTAGTTATTTTTTATTACTATATTACATATTAATTCACATATTATAAACTACTTGAACCGTGCAGGCGGGTGTACGACTTGCGCATAACACCAGCCAGGGAGCCATTATTAATTGAATAAATAAAGGGATTTGTATGCGCGGGAAGGGAGGATAGAAGAGTTCAAAAATAGACGAAATGAGGAATATGACGAAAAATGCTGGGAATCACGGAGTTACCTCAACGGATTATACAGACGTCACAATTTTGCTTCTTCTGTATTAGTAGCTGCTTTTCCAGAGCCTTTTTAGAAGCGAATGTGTAAAGCACCTCGAATATTTTTGTAACGGCATTTTGAATCAGCAAAATGTACTTGGTGTCGTTGAATACAGTAATGTTATTGAATCCTTTTTGTCAACTACAAGCGCTTTATTGTGAGAACTTTATACAAACGAAAGGAACGTCGTGAAACACCTATTCACTTCACTCTTAGGATAAGAGGTATGCTTAAACCGGTACATTTCCTGTACATTTAATTGACATTCATTTCCAATTGATTTGCAATCCAAGTTTTATTTCAACTTCAGTACCGCTAACTTGTCAAGAACCAAGGATAGAAAAGTTCACAAAACAATCACACGGATGTTGGTTGACGGTTAAAATCACACCACAAAATTTGAAGTAAAATCTAACATGAAATATTCCCAGAATAGATATAGCTGTAAGGTCAAGTCTCACGTCAATCGGATTTACTGTCAGTGTCTTTGAGACTAAACTTGGCGATACCTTATTTGAAGCACCGATGCGGGTACAAATTGGCAACAGCCGCTTAATGTAGAGGTTAATATAATATATATAAGACATTATATTTTAAAATACGCTCTGTACAGGGTAAACCTTGACGATAACCTATTTGAGACAACGATGCGGGTCCAAATTTTCAACAGCCATTTAATGTAATAGTTAGTATAATAAATGTAAGACAATAATTTTCCCTATCCCGAAAATCGTATGATATAAACAAAGCTCTGTTCGGGCATTGATATTATCTAATTATGTCACTCACACTATACATCAAATAAATTGAGTATACTGCGCATCATCATTATCATCATTCAAATGCAAACATTGTCTGCGCTCTATTGAATATATAACACTTCAAATATGTTATGTTTGAAAGATTTGAATTTCCCGCCAAAATTAATACAATACGGTGACATCATAATGCAAACATCTCTGTCTAATCTACAACATTGTGCAAACAATCGGACCCTGATCGTCTGGCAGACGACATTGAAAAACGGTGGAATGAGGTATAATAAAGATTTCAACATTGCCATATAAAAGTCAGTCCCCAGGTATTTCTATAAAGAAGCAATGCGATATATTAACAAATCTATAAAATACATGGATATGCGACCTTTTTTTTTTAAATCTAGTAAAATTTAGGGCAAAGCAACAATCGTATGAGTCCAGAAGAAATATAAAAACATGAATTAGCAATAAAAATTCATAACAACACAAACCTCTTTGCATTACTTGAACAATTGGCGCACTTATATGTTTGTTCAAGTCATGCTTTCAAAAACGCATATTTTAAATTGCTGGGCGTAATAAAAGAAGTATTATTCAACAACGAATACTCTTGTCGCAAGCCTTTGCTGCATAATTCCCATTTGTCTTCAAATTTGCAAACGAGGAAAATTTTGCGCCATTCGACAACTTTTGGTTGTTTGACAGTATTGCTGAATAGCGGTTTCGCCTTACAAAATATCTTTCGGAAAAGCAAATTTGACCAAACAAAAGAAATTGCAAAAATTTGGCTTGATGTGTAAAGCCTTGTTTCGATTGTAGCCCCAGCGCTGAGTTAGTCGAAGTCGAATCCAATACTGTTTCTACCCCGAGAGTCGATCGTAAATCATAATTTTTCCGACCCTACAGACCTTTTTGTAAGGATGCTATAGCAAAAATGAAAACGCTATATCGTGGAATATTGCTTTCACAAATTTTGCTTGTCTGAGGACTGACTTTGTTCAGGCGAAACATTGCAGAATCATATTTCGGAAAGTCGTATGTATTCAAGACCATGGCAGCACTTATAACCTGCGAAATTTTACATGAAGTGCCCTAATTTCGACCTCTTTATGAGAAGATAAGCACCAGTGTTCAACATATTGTCGGTGAATTATTGCCCCTAGTCAAGAAGTCATCATTTCCGATGCAGAGGTAAATATGAGACTCAATTGCAACGGAGCTGAAGATAAAACACAAGAAAGGAGCGTAATATACGTGAACAACAACTCACTGTAATGCATTAGTGCATTTTGCCAGAGTGCCATGAGCGTGATTTACCTATTTTACCTTAAAACTACCTTCCTAAGCTTACTAAAACCATTTTCCTAAACTTTATATCTATTTCAACACAGACCTATTTAGCTATACAAGCTAATAAGCTGTTCGCGCTGAAAGTTAAGGAAGAAATCCTACGGTGCCCAAATTGAATCGAAACAAATAAAAGTACCGAAGTGCAAGATTACTTTCTAAATGTGATTTATTATAAGGTATTCGAAATAAAAAAAATTATTCGATTCTCGCCATCTGCGGTAAGTGCAATTGCACTGGTTTGTTGTCTTGAAAATAAAATGTCCGTTTGTTGAAAATGTGCACGAAATAATCGATTTCCGATTTAATTTGGGACACATTCAATGCTGTTATCAAAGTATATTCAATTTCATACAGCTTTAATAGCAATTGAGGATGTATTTTTAAAAAAGGCAATAAAACTTTCGATAACAGCTAGAATCATTTTACGCCAGTCTACGGAAACCAAAACATGGGTTTTCCCTTATGACGTCATACAAGATTATTCGAAAGCGGACGACAATTGTCGTCTGCAAACAAAATTCAAGGAAATGTTGAGCGTGAATCCGAGAATCTAAATTATGATAAATGTGAGGTAAACAAAGTAACCAACTTTGTTGTAAAATCACTTTTAACACAAAAAGTTGACATTTTAATTTTATCCTGAGCGATTCAAAAGTCTTGCGGCACACTATTTCTGTAACGTTTCGTCTGACCAAGGTCAGACTTCCTCAGCTAAACATTTATTGAACTGATACCTTGATCAAACTGGTAGTTTGATAAATGGTTGTCTAAGGAAGTCTGACGTTGGTCAGACGAAGATACAGAAATATATTTGTGTTAGTGTGTACCAAAATTCGTGAGATAGCCATCTTCATTCTTGCTATAGCACCCTTGTATTATACACGTACGGATCCGCCAGCACAAAAGCATAAATAAAGGAAAAGTAATTATTTCCCCAGAAACCAAATTGATTATACCATTTTCACAACCTCGCTTCGAACAAGGCTCTGAACAAGCGTCACTGCTACGTAAGGAGCTAATAAAACGTTTCCCAATCGAGAAGGAATGCTGTCTATTA